TAGTGAGCTACGGGGGGAATGGCAGCACGTTAAAAAAAAAAAAAAACACAGCTTTGATGAAATCGCATTGTCTGAGATTCTCTTGCAAAACCATAAATCTTTCAGCCCGATTATCGGGAACCGTTGTTTTATTTTAGGGGGATTGGTCGCATACAAACACTTACCTGTATTACTACTGGTCTGACCCTGCTTGACCCAGGTGGCAAAAGACTGGTGGAAGTTCTTGTCTTGCTGCAAGGAGACTGGTGAGCCCAATTTGGAGGCCAAGACCATCTTGGTTCCTGATGTGACCTGACTTGTTCTCTGGCCCGTGGACACGGGGGTACTAACACAATTTGAAGTGCTGGATGATGAGGGTGTCGTGGTGGTGATGGTTGTGGCTGCAGCTGTGGATATGGCTTGTTGCTCAAAGCGTTTCTAAAATGAGACGTTCAGTGAATCTTTACTTTTTTATTTGACTACCAATCTGATCGAGGTCTCCCGAAATCATTGAAAAGATGATGACTGCTGACTTGTGCTGTCTTCTCACCTGCTGGGCAGCCATTCTGGTCTGCTTAAGCTGATTCTCCAAATGCGTCTTGACATCCTCCGCACTCTTCAGGGTACTGACTGTTTTAGGGGAATCAGTTCCTTGTAGTTTCTCCTTCTCCATTCTGTTGTCATAAGGAAAAGGGTCATGGAGATATATTTATAAAATACTTTTCCACTAAGGTACTTCCATGCCCTATTACGGTTCTGCCTCATTCAAACAACAGCAGTTGAGATATGTCCTCCGGAAAAAGCGATAGCTCCAAAAACATTTGTTTCTTGAACAGTTTTAGGTCGAGCTCACTTTTCTGCAAAGGCTCTGATCTCCCACAGCTCCAGATCTTCTTCAGGAATCCACGTCTCCACAGCAATAGGTCCGGTTGGCTTGGTTGACTCCTTTTTCTTGGGTCTCAAGGCACTGGATCGTAGGCCTTTCCTTTGTGGAGTCGGAGTTTCTATTGATACAAAAGGGAAATAGCTCAGTTTGAGGGTTATTCAAACGGCAACAAATCCCGCTCTTTCCTATGTCTTGCGCACGCCGAGCGACACGGCTGAAAGCGACTCAACTGGACAATCGCGAACATATTCGTTTGCGATGCACGCCATACACAGACAGTTTTCACATCTAAAACTAAATCTTTTTTTAGCCGCGTCGCTCGGTGGCCTCGGACTCTCCAACCTACTACATCATCTAAGTGTTACCTTTTGGGGTGTCTCTGTTTCCAAGCGGACAGATAATCTTCCTGATACAATATTCTGAGTAGATGCCATAAGGTCCCACGTCTCTGCGTTTTATGATCTCTGTTGTGGTGATATCTGTGTCTGTGGTTTCTGGGGGCGGAGAAGCATAGAATACAGTACATGTTAGCACAGTATCCCCCCCATCCATATTGTATGGCACTGGTGGGCTGGAGCTTGTCCCAGCTGGCTTTGCGAGAGGACGGGTCCAAGCCTGGACTTGTCGCCGGTCAATCGCAGGGCACATGTAGACTAACAACCATTCACTCTCATATTCAGACTCATTGGCAAGTTAGAACCCCCCAATAAACCGAAGAAGCATGTTTCCTGAGCACCTAGAGAAAACCCACACAAGGACAGGGAGAACATGATCCCAGCGCTTCTCAATTGTGAGGCAGACGTTCAGACAACTACACGACCGCATAACACATGGAAAAACAAATGAGCCGTTCTCAAACAAAGATGCGGCACAAAGGGAGGAAATCAATCCAATGATGAATGCTTGGCTCCCCACCTTTGCGCGTTAGGCCGACAGCAACAGAGGGCTTGACAGCCATGTCATCCCATCTTAGGCAGGCCCAGAGCAACCTGAGCATCAGGCTGACTCCCGCCAGCGATCTCATTGTCTGAAGACGGACCTGCGGCTCTCTGACCTTCAATTGGCTGCACTGGAGTAGAACCAGATACAGCTGCAGATGCAACTTGGCCTTGGCCCATCTGGACCTGTTGGGAATGGCCTAGGCAAACAGAAATAAAAACGGATTTTATTTTTCCGGCATGAGCCTCAGCGGCTAAGTTTAGTTAAAAATGTAAATACCAAATTGAAAGAATACCTTGTGGAGTCAATTTAGGACTTGCTCCAGGTTGTGTTTGGTTCCCTGCTCTCATCATCTGAAGCAAAAACAAGAGTAACCATTGATCATGTTGCTTGCTTGAGGTAAGCTTGAACAAGGTCCGAGTCAGAGAGACAAAATACCTGTTGCATCGATGAAGTCGAGTTGCTCGCTCTGAGATTGATATTGCCAGTTGTCGGATGGAGTGTACTGTATGTCCTCAGGTTTGCAGGCGGGCCGGACGGGAATATGCTGTTGCATTTCTGCTCATCTGTCGTGAGAAACAATGATATAAATATCCATCCATCCATTTTCCGATCCGCTTATCCTCACGAGGGTCGGGGTGGGAGTGGGGGGGTGCTGGAGCAGTTCGTGTGACCTGCCCATGAATAGCGTGCCAGTTCTGATTGGTGAGCTCAGGGGGGAATGGCAGCACGTTAAAAAAAAAAAAAAACACAGCTTTGATGAAATCGCATTGTCTGAGATTCTCTTGCAAAACCATAAATCTTTCAGCCCGATTATCGGGAACCGTTGTTTTATTTTAGGGGGATTGGTCGCATACAAACACTTACCTGTATTACTACTGGTCTGACCCTGCTTGACCCAGGTGGCAAAAGACTGGTGGAAGTTCTTGTCTTGCTGCAAGGAGACTGGTGAGCCCAATTTGGAGGCCAAGACCATCTTGGTTCCTGATGTGACCTGACTTGTTCTCTGGCCCGTGGACACGGGGGTACTAACACAATTTGAAGTGCTGGATGATGAGGGTGTCGTGGTGGTGATGGTTGTGGCTGCAGCTGTGGATATGGCTTGTTGCTCAAAGCGTTTCTAAAATGAGACGTTCAGTGAATCTTTACTTTTTTATTTGACTACCAATCTGATCGAGGTCTCCCGAAATCATTGAAAAGATGATGACTGCTGACTTGTGCTGTCTTCTCACCTGCTGGGCAGCCATTCTGGTCTGCTTAAGCTGATTCTCCAAATGCGTCTTGACATCCTCCGCACTCTTCAGGGTACTGACTGTTTTAGGGGAATCAGTTCCTTGTAGTTTCTCCTTCTCCATTCTGTTGTCATAAGGAAAAGGGTCATGGAGATATATTTATAAAATACTTTTCCACTAAGGTACTTCCATGCCCTATTACGGTTCTGCCTTATTCAAACAACAGCGGTTGAGATATGTCCTCCGGAAAAAGCGATAGCTCCAAAAACATTTGTTTCTTGAACAGGTTTAGGTCGAGCTCACTTTTCTGCAAAGGCTCTGATCTCCCACAGCTCCAGATCTTCTTCAGGAATCCACGTCTCCACAGCAATAGGTCCGGTTGGCTTGGTTGACTCCTTTTTCTTGGGTCTCAAGGCACTGGATCGTAGGCCTTTCCTTTGTGGAGTCGGAGTTTCTATTGATACAAAAGGGAAATAGCTCAGTTTGAGGGTTATTCAAACGGCAACAAATCCCGCTCTTTCCTATGTCTTGCGCACGCCGAGCGACACGGCTGAAAGCGACTCAACTGGACAATCGCGAACATATTCGTTTGCGATGCACGCCATACACAGACAGTTTTCACATCTAAAACTAAATCTTTTTTTAGCTGCGTCGCTCGGTGGCCTCGGACTCTCCAACCTACTACATCATCTAAGTGTTACCTTTTGGGGTGTCTCTGTTTCCAAGCGGACAGATAATCTTCCTGATACAATATTCTGAGTAGATGCCATAAGGTCCCACGTCTCTGCGTTTTATGATCTCTGTTGTGGTGATATCTGTGTCTGTGGTTTCTGGGGGCGGAGAAGCATAGTATACAGTACATGTTAGCACAGTATCCCCCCCATCCATATTGTATGGCACTGGTGGGCTGGATTGTCCCAGCGCTGGCTTTGCGAGAGGACGGGTCCAAGCCTGGACTTGTCGCCGGTCAATCGCAGGGCACATGTAGACTAACAACCATTCACTGTCATATTCAGACTCATTGGCAAGTTAGAACCCCCCAATAAACCGAAGAAGCATGTTTCCTGAGCACCTAGAGAAAACCCACACAAGGACAGGGAGAACATGATCCCAGCGCTTCTCAATTGTGAGGCAGACGTTCAGACAACTACACGACCGCATAACACATGGAAAAACAAATGAGCCGTTCTCAAACAAAGATGCGGCACAAAGGGAGGAAATCAATCCAATGATGAATGCTTGGCTCCCCACCTTTGCGCGTTAGGCCGACAGCAACAGAGGGCTTGACAGCCATGTCATCCCATCTTAGGCAGGCCCAGAGCAACCTGAGCATCAGGCTGACTCCCGCCAGCGATCTCATTGTCTGAAGACGGTACCTAGACGGGGAACAAATAGGAGAATCTGCATATTCGAGCGATTGTAAAAATACACTTCTATTTATAGCCCGTAGAGAATAAGCGCGGTGATATCAAGATCTCGCAAAGAGGAAGAAAAAGACGTCGCCGTGATGCCAACCTCCACGTGATTCCAAACGTAGGCCGAGGAGACGGGTAGGGCCATATATCCAGGGCTGGCTTGGCATTGTAGTTGAAGATGGGAACCTCTTTGAAGCCTCCTCTCCTCGCCAGCCTCTTCAGGTCATCATTGGGCAGGACAAAAATGCTCTTTTTGCTGCTTTTGGTGACAAATTTGCGATAGGACGGCAGGGCTGTGCCTGACCGCGCCTTCTTACATTTGGTGAACTTGAGGAGACTGACTCTCTCACTGGTGCTGTACTCTTTGCATATCGTCATGGAGCTGCTTGTGGTTGAAGCGGTGGAACCCACCTTTGGACAAGTAACATCTGCACCGACAGGCTTGGAACTTGGAGAGATTGCCGACACTGGCTTATTGGCGGAGGTCGGAGTGGAAGAGACCGTGTTATTTGCCGCAGAGGTTTGGGCGTTTTGAGACTCTAGGACATTTTGCGGGGGTGTCTTTATATCTTGTCTACTACTGCCGTTGTCACTACTATGAAGGCAAGCGGCGGTTGAAGTTTGAAAATGAGCGGGCACTGCCCCATCTGAACCTTTAAGTGCATCCTTGTTGCTACTTACAACATTTTGCGGCTCGGCTGTATCGGCCACATGATTTTCTAATTTGGGGATCTTTGAGGGAGGTGAATGACCATCATAGGAGGCAACATTTTGGGAGAGACTTCCATTCATTAGCGGTTTGACAGGTTCTTTGTTACCACCGTGGACTTGATTGCTGAGGTTTGAGTTGATGTTTGAATTTGAAGGAACAGCGGGCCCAGTTTCTCCATTCAGCTGCTCTGCGTTGGTCTTGCTTCGGTCAGCCTCCACGATCTCCCCATCAGTCCGCCGACTGCCTTGCTCCATTTCCTCGTAGCTACGTTTCTTTGTGTTCTCTTCAACCTCTTGTTTCAGAGGTTTCTCCTGGCTTTCTATCGCTTCGGATTTAAAATTGTTTTTACCATTGAGCCCAGTGCTTCCTGTGGATCCTCCGTTCACTTCGTTGTATGCCGCAGCACTTCCACCATTCCCATGCGCGGGACCGATTTCTGTCTGCAGGCTGTGACTGTCCAATTTGATATCCGAGTTGACTTGGAGCTCGTTGCGTTCCTGATCGAAGTCAAGCTGTTTTACGACAGGGTCTTTCACCTTCTTGTCACCATTCTTTTCTTCAACTTTAACACATGGATTCACAGCGGGCGGCTGTTTAGTTTCAGTTTTGATTCCAGAAGTGGACCGCGTGGAAGCCATTTTTGACAGCAAGGCTGCCTGTCTGAACCGCTCCAGTCTCTGCTTCTCCTCCAAAGTGAACTGTTTGACACGCCGCTCCAAGAGCCCATCCAATTTGGAAGGCTTTACCTTCTGCTTATAAGCTGTTCGCAAATGAAATCCTTCGCTGACATTGACAACGTCATACAAAGGCTTCAGTGCAGAGGTCTCGTCCTTCGGTGGGTCGTCTTTCTGGATCGGCTCCGTTTTTACAGGCTGTTCAGCAGGCAATGACGGGCCTTTGTTTTCAACATTTTCTAGAATGCACAGGAAAGTGAGATTATGTGATCTCCGAAGAGTAATAACATTTACAAATGGCACAGTGGATCCTGTCAAGTTGTAAAGCCTTTATTTGATCCAAGGCAAGAAATAAGTCTAATGGGTTTAAACTGAAATGCATATTTGTGTTTGAAATTGCCTCCATTACCTCCGTCTTCATTTGATGGTGCTGTATTCACACTGGGTTCAACCTCCATTTTGTTGTCTTCTACCTTTTCTTGCTCCTCGTCTTTGGGCTTGGCTTCCTCTTTTGCTGCCTGTTCTTGTTCAGATGAGGCACTTGGAGCTGACACACGCATGGAAACCTGCTGTTTTTCCTCCGCCGTACTTTGACTCGTCTGCATTTCATCCTCTGCCTTTTTCTGTTTGTTGGTGCAAGCATCATTTTCCTGCCTAATTTTGGCTGCTAGGAAGACAGGATTAGATATGCAATTTTAGGTGCTGGCATCTCACAGACATATTTTGGGGGGAAGGAAAAGCCCCCAAAACACTTCATCTTTATTCCTTACCTTTCAGTTCTTTTCGGTAGTTGGCATTTGTGTTTCCTGGTAATTTAGGAACAAAACGCGGTACGCGAGTCTTACTGACCCAGCTCCAGCCACCGTACCCCGTCACTCTGTACTCTTCACCCTTCTGCTTCCACACCTAGTCAGAACACCACAGTGAAATCCTAGAATGAAGCCTGCATCCAACGGTACGCAATTGTAATGCTCAATTTTGTTTTTGTTTTACCTGGTGTTTGATGTTAACGCTGTACTTCACCCATGTGGCCTGCTGCAGCGACTCCTCATCCTCCAGCTTTTTCTCCCGTTTCTTGACCTTCTCTTTCTCTTCACGCTCCATGGAGGTCATGCGGTGTAGCCTGAGACAGGAGAACGTCCTGTTCAAAATCTTATCAAGTCGAAATCGCAGATGACGTGGTACGATTTGACCGTTATACAGTTCCTGTCGTAATGCATGCCCGTCACCTTGTGTGTCCGAGGGAATCTTTCCAAACGGGCAGCATGACAACCGGCTTGATGGCACACTCCAGGATGGCCAAGGCGAGAGCAAATTCCCTCGCTTTGCTACACATTTGCACTGCTTTGTTCCAGTTAGTTCTAGAAAAAAAAAAGAGTAACGTGATGTGTTCATGATGCCCGAACAGATTTCTTGTCAAAAAAAGAATCATATACAGGCAGCCAGAAGGCTTGAACTTGAAGGCTGCATTGTAGGTAATGTGTGGGGTGTGGGAAGGGGGGCGGGGGTAGTTGGAGCTTTATGGCCGTCAGTTTAAAAAAAACAACTAGATGACAAAGTGAACGTACAAAGAGAATCTGGTTGACCTGGTCAAAGTTCTAACCTGTGTGATGCCCAGTTCAGGTGCATAAATGGTGGTGGGATGTTGCTCTCCAGCTGGATGATGTTGAAACGCAGGGTGGTGATAGTCAGGCTCCGTGATCCGTAGATGGAGCCGTTCCATTTGAACTCCGATGCAGCCGTCAAGCTGAACTTGTGGGAGAGGTGCCGCCTTTTGTCGTTGTCTTCCCGGTGCTGATGCTTGTTGAGCGCCAGGACGTTGGTGCTGTACTGGTTATGGTACACCCGATATTTACCTTCCTGACCCAATTTGAACAAGTTGTTCAAGTTCAACGCAAAGTCACTTTTGGAAAAGCTGGAATGTGAAGTCTCTACATCAGGGGATGACTGAAACACAGGAAGAGGAGTTTTTGTTGGCGAAATAACGTCACTAAAAGATTTCAGTCTATTTGATTTAATCGAAAAAAACAACCAGTGTCCATTTTCAAATGGACACTTGCATCACCTCTTTGCTTTTTCTCAAAATTTGGTTCATAGATTCCAGCGCCGATCCAGTTGCTTTGTTGCGCCTCATATTTTCATGACACTCCTCTGTCAATCACAGGGCAGATGACATTACTTCAGTGTAATAACAAACCACATAACCATCTTTGACTTATTAAAATTTGAAATCGTGTGTGGCATAAATGAAAATAAGTGCGTTTCAAAAATAGTACAACCACTGACCTGTCCCATCTTGACTGGTGAAAGATGACCGAGAGGACCTTTCAAACAGGTCTGGCTGCTCTGGTTTCCCGGGGCTCCTGCTGTCTGAGACCTTTGGACCTGCTTCAGGATGCTCGTCAGGGGTTTGTGCTTGCATGGATTCACTGCTCCGCTTAGCTTCATCTTAGAAAATAAAGTACAAGTGTACAAACCGTGGGTTAAGTCAAGCATTACTGGCGCTGTGACCGGTACGACGGAAGAACTTCTATCGCAAAAGTAAAGACTGCTGCACATAATGACAAGATTTGACGGTGGGGTATGGCTGATGGGGTGACGAGTGGGTTAAAAAAATGGTTGAATTGGCTGACCAGTGAATGAAAAGGCTCAGGTATGGACAGCGAACAGTGTACAATATGCTTCATGGGATTATGAGCAGTGAGGGTTGCTAAAGTGATGAACTGGGAAGGGCTTAGTTGACAGGCGACGTCTTTTATGAGCCGGGTTAGCTGTAGATGGTATAGCTACGGTCAGCGGGCAGCTGCATTTGCTGAGGGTTGCTAAAGTGATGAACTGGGAAGGGCTTATTGACAGGCGACATCTTTTATTAGCCGGGTTAGCTGTAGATGGTATGGCTACGGTCAGCGGGCAACTGCATTTGCACAAAGGGGCGGAGAAATGCCCGGAATGGCGAAAGAGGCGGCGGACAGCCACAAATGGCAACCGAGTACCTGTCCTTTCCTGCTTTGCCGCTGTCGGGGATTCCCCATCCTCCTTGGCGTCGATGTTTGAATCAGGAAATTCAGTTGAGTCCCGGGGGGCTGAGCTGGACTTAGAATCAGACGCGCAGCTCTCTTGGGCACCAGTTGGAACGACAGCTGCTGTGGCAGGTCAAAGAATACACGGATGGGTCTTTATATCAATGAGTTCTTACCACGGATTGCACATGAGTCAGTAGCGGCATGGGAAACAAAGTAGAGACGTCCCCATCCGAGCACGTGATCGGAAATCGAGGCCAATCACATGTTCTTAACCGATCCGGTGAAAAAGATCGGTTGGTTTTATTCATTTTCGAAACATTTAAAGGTCAAATAGCTCCCAAATCATCAAAATTTGCAAATATCCTTCCAAATACAACACAATACCTTAGTGTTATCTGACACAATGTGATGTTTCAGTTTATTTATTTATTCATTTTTATTTAGTAGTGGTGTAGTCAAGAGACATTGCCTAAGTATCAGATCGGGACTCGGTATCGGCAGACACCGTACTTTTAATCAAAGACTGGGATTCGGACTCGGGTGATTGAAAAAAAGCGTGATCGGGACATTCCTGAAAAAGTCACGTGCACCGAGTTATTCAGTTCTCATTTACCTGGCATAGTCGCGGTCTCCTTGGGCTCGGTGTCTTTGTGCTCTCCATCACCGAGCTGCGACGGAACTTTGGCAGAGTCCCCCACTGTCGGCGCACAACTTTTTTCTGCTTGTGTATTCACTTCCTCTGCTTGCCGGTTTGCTGTCCGTGCGTCCCGTCTGATATTTAAACGTTCCGTGACCATCTCTGGCATAAGACAGACAGACAAATGGGCGTTGGATTGTAAAATTTGGACAAATGTCATGTCTATTTCGGCATAGCACACATGGATGGTTACACTACACAAATCAAATCCCTACCGTTGACAGCAGTGAGGTAGGCTTTATTGTTTCCGCGAGCTTTATCGGTAAGGTCCTCTGTGATGTCCATGTGAGTTTGAACTTCCTCCTTTATCTCCTCCAGACTGGCCCAAAGGTCCATCTCCCAGTAGTCCTTATCCAGACACTCAAGCAGCTCTTGAAACTGGGATCTGCTGCTGTAGTACCAGATCTTTTTCTTCTGATGTTCACCGTCCTCTTCACTGGCAAGGAAGTGACAACAAGAAGATGACACAGGGTGGCATATGGAAATGCAAACCAATATAGGCGAGTGTTGAATTAATAATTCAATTCATTGGTCAAATGTGACAAGACTGCGTGTAAATCTATCGACAGCTTGAAGCTCATTTGTAAGATTTTATTCATAAATGGCGTCACATTCAAAATTGCAGGTTTCAAAGCGCGGCGGAGAAAAAGTGGCTTATCGTCGGGAAAATCAATACCAGCCAATCTCACTCATAATTGGTAGCAAAATCAGCAGCATGAAACCCTGATCGGAGCACCCCTTGTCATTTTATAGCGTATAACCTAGAGTGCTATTTTTCTCATTATTAAACACGTGACCACGAAACGTGTTTTTTGAGAGGCGGGAATGAATCATTGGCACTTCATTTCGGTGGTGAAATATGATTTGAGATCAGTGTTTTCAGTTATGTGCATGGTCAAGGAACAAATGAAGGCACCGGTGTAGGATTAAATACCTGTAACCAGCAAGCATCAAATCTTTTGACTTACAGTGTATTTTGCTACAGAGTGGTATTGACTTACATAATAATCCTTCTGCTGAGAAACCAGTATTTCCTCTGGTGGCGGTCATATCCAAGAGGCTCCTGGCGTATGTAGGGCCTGTTCTTCTGCGCTTCCGTCACACAGTCGGTCACGCCGGGTACTTGATGTGCCACACAGATCTCGCACTGCCACTCGTCTTCCGGAACCTCCTTTAGTGGTGGCTTCACACACTCCAAGTGGTAAACTGCAGAGCAGGTCTCGCAGCAGAGCAGATCACCGAGGCGGTGACATACGCGACAGTGGTCGTCATACTGCATGACGCCATCAGACATCAGCTCTTCACGGGCAATGTTGGTGGTAAGAAACTGGTTCACCAAGAACTGAAGCACCTTGATTTTACTTTCAACGGGACCAAAAGGATAATCATCCAGTTCCTGATCGGGCAGCACGTAGTGGTACTCTGTGTCACTCTCACAATAAGCACGTAACACCTCGGGCCACGTCATGCCGTCGATGAAGTACAGAGTGGAATTGACGCTGTCCTTGAGGTCAGCGGGCCCAAAGCTAGTGTTGGACGTTTCCTCTTCATGCAGGATGGCCTTCAGCAGAGAAATGTGAGTCTCTGCTATTAAAGTGCATTGTTCCTGGCCGATGAGCGCTGCGCAAAAGTCCTCAAAGCGGAAGGGGGACAGCCGCAGCACCGTGCTGAAGTTCCGAAGCACCTCGTAGATGGAGGTTGCATTTAGCAGGTCTTCGCTAGGCACCAGGAGATCCTCGGAAGATGCGGGTAGATCAAGAGGGGGGATGTTTTTCTCTTCCAAAATGGGGGTGCGGGGTCGGGCCTTTTTCCTCCCTGTAGGACACACAGAGGTATCAGCAAACGACGCGCTCTTCATAAACACACAGACATTTAAAGTCACGTTCAACATTACAAAGCTGTATATAGACCATACGTCGATTCGTCTTTGTCTTATCGACTGTTCCGTTCATATACAATTTCTGATAAATATGAATTCATTCATATTTGAAAAGTGTTTTGGCAATATCCAGGAAGCTGTTATGGTTGGTGGCACTTGAGTGCATCTGTTATTTTATTTGAGGCAAAATTAATTTTTTGGGGGAATCGGGGAAGGGGCAAAACCAGGACAGACCCGACCCTAAATCACATGCAACACCATGGTGTAGTTTTTTTCCTCAATACAAGCACTGTGTCAATTAGTAATACTTAAACTATTATGCGTGCAAGAGTTTTTGTATGTTTTGCCAAACGATTAAAACTGATATCGTATACAACTGACAATAAAAACTCATTTTAGGTTTTGTACATCAGTTCATTTCAGAGGGAAGTTTGTATTTACTCTGACCCAAGTACAATGGTGGAATTGGCATCTCAATTTTTTTTCCCAATTAGCTGTTTTGAAGAAGAAAATAAACATATTTTACCAAAGTTCAACGTGTGAGTACTTTCCTTGAAGCTCATTTGTAAGATTTTATTCATAAATGGTGTCACATTCAAAATTGCAGGTTTCAAAGCGCGGGGGAGAAAAAGTGGCTTATCGTCGGGAAAATACAGTCATCAAGGGATGGAAATTTCAACACAATGTTTATTTTTAAATCGGATTCATCCAATCATTGAAAAGAATAATTGACAGATTAATCAAATGTGAAAATAATTGCTAGTAAGGAGCTCTAAAATTGGAAAATGTGTAGCTAATCTATGTGAATGGTATCGGAATCTATATCGGCCAATCTCACTCATAATTGGTAGTAAAATCAGCAGCATGAAACCCTGATCGGAACACCCCTTGTCATTTTACAGGGTTACCACAAAACATGTTTTTTGAAAGGCTGGAATGAATCTTTGGCACGTCATTTCGGTGGGGAAATATGATTTGAGGTCAGTGTTTTCAGTTATGTGCGTGGTCAAGGAACAAATGAAGGCACCGGTGTAGCGTTAAATACCTGTAAGCAGCAAGCATCAAATCTTTTGACTTGCAGTGTATTTTGCTACAGAGTGGTATTGACTTACATAATAATCCTTCTGCTGAGAAACCAGTATTTCCTCTGGTGGCGGTCATATCCAAGAGGCTCCTGGCGTATGTAGGGCCTGTTCTTCTGCGCTTCCGTCACACAGTCGGTCACGCCGGGTACTTGATGTGCCACACAGATCTCGCACTGCCACTCGTCTTCCGGAACCTCCTTTAGTGGTGGCTTCACACACTCCAAGTGGTAAACTGCAGAGCAGGTCTCGCAGCAGAGCAGGTCACCGAGGCGGTGACATACGCGACAGTGGTCGTCATACTGCATGACGCCATCAGACATCAGCTCTTCACGGGCAATGTTGGTGGTAAGAAACTGGTTCACCAAGAACTGAAGCACCTTGATTTTACTTTCAACGGGACCAAAAGGATAATCATCCAGTTCCTGATCGGGCAGCACGTAGTGGTACTCTGTGTCACTCTCACAATAAGCACGTAACACCTCGGGCCACGTCATGCCGTCGATGAAGTACAGAGTGGAATTGACGCTGTCCTTGAGGTCAGCGGGCCCAAAGCTAGTGTTGGACGTTTCCTCTTCATGCAGGATGGCCTTCAGCAGAGAAATGTGAGTCTCTGCTATTAAAGTGCATTGTTCCTGGCCGATGAGCGCTGCGCAAAAGTCCTCAAAGCGGAAGGGGGACAGCCGCAGCACCGTGCTGAAGTTTCGAAGCACCTCGTAGATGGAGGTTGCATTTAGCAGGTCTTCGCTAGGCACCAGGAGATCCTCGGAAGATGCGGGTAGATCAAGAGGGGGGATGTTTTTCTCTTCCAAAATGGGGGTGCGGGGTCGGGCCTTTTTCCTCCCTGTAGGACACACAGAGGTATCAGCAAACGACGCGCTCTTCATAAACACACAGACATTTAAAGTCACGTTCAACATTACAAAGCTGTATATAGACCATACGTCGATTCGTCTTTGTCTTATCGACTGTTCCGTTCATATACAATTTCTGATAAATATGAATTCATTCATATTTGAAAAGTGTTTTGGCAATATCCAGGAAGCTGTTATGGTTGGTGGCACTTGAGTGCATCTGTTATTTTATGTGAGGCAAAATTAATTTTTTGGGGGAATCGGGGAAGGGGCAAAACCAGGACAGACCCGACCCTAAATCACATGCAACACCATGGTGTAGTTTTTTTCCTCAATACAAGCACTGTGTCAATTAGTAATACTTAAACTATTATGCGTGCAAGAGTTTTTGTATGTTTTGCCAAACGATTAAAACTGATATCGTATACAACTGACAATAAAAACTCATTTTAGGTTTTGTACATCAGTTCATTTCAGAGGGAAGTTTGTATTTACTCTGACCCAAGTACAATGGTGGAATTGGCATCTCAATTTTTTTTCCCAATTAGCTGTTTTGAAGAAGAAAATAAACATATTTTACCAAAGTTCAACGTGTGAGTACTTTCGCCACCTGTGGTTGACAGTAACTTATTTGTATGGGCTAATTTTGCTTGCTAACATTAGCATTCAAAGCTACCACTTAGCTGAGGGCAAAACAACACCCGAGCCCGGATCCACACGTTTACAATTGGGTCACAAAACGTCCGTGATTTGGCGTGAACGTGCAATGTTTAGCTCCCGTAATCTAACTTTACAATCCACCTGCCTGCGATCAAGAAGCGCAGACTGCGGCCTGTGTTGCTTACACTGTGCATTCTCCATTTTGAACAACAACCATACTGCTTGGTGTACCAAACTATGTGCAGCCCTTGTTGGGCTACGGAGTGTGGGAGGGTGATTACGAGCCTGTCGACCCCGTTAGCGCAAAATGAAAACGTTTGTTGTAGAATTACCCGGTGTGCTGGCGTGTGTGCTCTGACTCCGAAAGCTACTCTCCGTACAGTAGCTGGCATCCTCTTCCACCTCCTCCTCCTCCTGCCGCTGCTGCTCGTCCAGCACATCATCGAGGCAGTCCGAGTCCTCCTTGAGGGCCTCGTCCTCATCGGACTGAGGGTCCTCCTCGACCGGCTCTTCTTCCTCGGATCTCAAACTGACAGCGTCGTCGTCCTCGTCGCTCTCGTGGTCGTCGTACACGACCGTTTTGGAGGCAGGGGTCCTCCTGCCTCCGCGAGCCCCTCTTCTTCCTCGGCCACCTCTGCCTCGTCCCCTGCCTCGCGTCGAGATGACAGATGCCGCTTTCTTTTTCCTGGTCGGCTTGGCTACTTCCCGAACGGGACTCTCCGCGTCCTCCTCGCCGCTGTCTCGGAAACGGGGCTTGATATTCCTCCTCGGCCGCAAGCCCCGTGTAGTAGCCGGAGCTGGCGACTGCTCCTCGGTTGCTAGCGGTTTGGGCGGCCTGCCCCTTTTCCCTCTCATGATAGGCGAAAGCTATTCGTTTATATCCCCAGTGATTGCGTTCGCAGGAAGCGAGCGAAAAGCGGTCCCCCTACAGAATCGGAGTGGTCGGGGTTGGTGCCGAGCATGCAAGCCCGCAACCTCAGTGTGTTTCCTCGGGTGTGAAAGCTCAAAGTGTTAGCCCGGCGTCCCGTTCGGGTTCGCCGAGAGCCGCCATTTTTCTTTTCTGCCTCTCTGTCTGTGGCTCAACAAACACTACAGGCCCCTACCACTTGGGTCACGTGGTACAGCCGCTCGCTCGCAAGTGGTTACAATAACCCAGAAAAAAAGGCTTTTCTTATTTATCGACAGAAGTAATATTGACATTAATATTTCATGTCAACTTAAGTCTTTTTCCCCCTTTTTTTCCTTAACCGCAGAATATCCTCCAAAGATCGGATGCTGTCTTATTTTATACTGCATTCTATTGCATTGTTTTGTATTGCATTTCGCTTATCCTGAACTGAATATTTTATTAGATTGTTAAAAATATATCTGACATCTGAATGACCATATTATGAACAATGCGGTGTTTCAGCACAACAGAATGTGTTGGACAAAATAACCGAAACGCATAATTCAATAAATAAATTCATTATCGGTTCGTAATAATGAAAGTGATTTTTTTAACCAATGCAGATTTACCCAGTTAGAAGGTAAAACTCATCTGTTGACACATTTATTACCGGAAAATCAAATGTTGATAAAACATTGTACTGTACAGTCATGTATTGTACTGTACTTATGGTATTACATTACACACACAATATATTACCAGCAGGTGGCAGTACAATAACGTAAAACTCGAGAAAGAAAATGAAGCACTGGTATGATAACAGCAGAGTTGTTGCACACATTTTCAAAAATGTCTTTTTGTCTGCAAGGACAGTTGTCATTTTAGACATCATAATTACCGGAAAATCAAATGTTGATAAAACATTGTACAGTTCTGTACAGTCATGTATTGTACTGTACTTTCGTATTACATCACACACACAATATATTACCAGCAGGTGGCAGTACAATAACGTAAAACTCGAGAAAGAAAATGAAGCACTGGTATGATAACAGCAGAGTTGTTGCACACATTTTCAAAAATGTCTTTTTGTCTGCAAGGACAGTTGTCATTTTAGACATCATATTAGCATGACCATTCATTCTCAGTCGTTTTATTTGACTACAATAATAGGATTTGGCTACAATACAGCACCTTTAAAGGGACCCAAGGAGGTTTAACAATAACCTGTAGGGCTAATTAAAATCCTGTGAATGCCATAGTCGCCTGGACTGACATCAAACTGCAGTTTTATGGAAGATTGCAGGAGGTCAGAGAGGCTGCAAATATCAAAGAGGAGAGTGACATTTGAATTTTGTACAAGTGAATTACCCAACAGGCGGCATGTTTTATTAACCTGTTAGCCAGTGGGAAGAAAATGGAAATTGCTAACCTTTGCATGGTAGCTAAATCTTGTAAACGCCAGTGCTGGTGGCATAACCTGATTATTTCCCCAGGCTCTTCATTTAATGTGTTACATGGGGAGGCAGGTTTAAACTTCAGCTCAGTGCCTACTCCAATATGATTAACAGCACTAACCACGGCTGAAAAATAGGAGCTAAACTGAGGGAACAGTCAAGACCCGCAACAGCAAACACAGTCTTCACACTTTAAAACCGCATACCTCTGGTACACAAATGGAAACGTATTTATAGAAAAAAACTCAAGTCGACCATCTCTTTTGAGCTACAGTATCCATCCATGATTTTGCAAACAGCCAAAGGATGGATCACAAAGCAGACAGCAAACATGGAGAAATCAAGATTCACTTTCACCCAAACACTGCACACCGCATGAATGTAAGGCACTACAAGAAACTCATAAAAATGAAAAACAACGATGATAAAAAAGGCACATGGTCTGGAAAAATGCTTCTACTGTAATAACAATCAAAAGTGAAGGAAATTTGTCATTTCATGACAGATTTTCTGGCCCCCCCCAAAAAAAGAAATGCAATAAACCTGAATTCACCCGATTTGTTTGCATTCGTGGGCCACATGAAGTGATGCGGGGGCCGAGTAAGGCCCCTGCGCCTTGCGTTTAAAATCCCATTGTTCAGACTGAAAGAGAAAGGTTAAACATATGGTGGGACTTGCGCAAACGGGTCATTGAGTTCAAACGCAGATGATAATCTTCTCAACTTTGATGTCCCGTCTCTTGCAAATCCTTCAATCATCTTAAAATGCTGGCATGACATGCCGCTGGACACAACATATGGTAAACAGCCTGAAGACCACACGCGCGCAGTACGTTTAACGTGCACCTTCTTGACAAATGGGTCATCTTCCGAGAGGGAAATAAAACAGCCTTTCTTTCCATTGGTATGAAATGTGTCAAGCTATTGTGCACGGAGGAATACTTTATCAAATACAAATTTATATATAAATATATTTTTTTTTTCCACGCACACTCTTTTAGAACAAGAATGACTGTATTCTATGAGAACACCAGAACCCCCTTCGATTGAAATTAAAGGCAACATCAGTAGTTGTCAGTGAATGCGTCACGGGTGCGTTGAATTGAATGGGAGCACTGAAGCAGGCTGATATCTTTCAGGAGCACAAAAGAGCCCAGATGAGATAAGTAAAAAGGGGACTGCTGATGTAACGAGTACGTTTAAAAGACTCAAATGACGGTTGAGAAGAATGAAGTTGCAGCAAAACCACAAAAAACAGCAACAACAAAAAAAAAAAGAGTTTGTACAGTGGTGTGTGTGGTCTGTCCCAGATTAAAAACATAGGGTGTCATCGATGCTTTGTTCAACAGACACTTAGCATGAGGCTGTCACACTGACCCATTCAGCTGGCAGTCAAAAGTGCCTGTGGGCAGAGGCGAGGGGGAGGGGCACCGCTCTCGGGACCAGTGCTTCATCTTAGCATACAGGAGAGCAGGGCCTGAAAAACCTTGGCCCATTGTGGACCGGAAGAAAGATGTAAAATGGCACCGGACCCTAACATTAAGGCTTGGCAGTGACCTTACATGAAGCGCAGTCAGTTCAAATTCATCCTTTTAAATTCTGAAACGCAGAATTTTGCACTGGCCTGATGTTTACCGAGACCAATGCAACCGAAAGAACCGCTACGAGATTACAAGAACAGACTGTTGGGAATAAAGTCAGACCATTTCATGGAACCGATATTAGAAGCAAGGTTGTATAGAGGCGCTTCTGATACTGCTTAGGCCAACAGAGGCCTTGCTGTCCCTTTATAACCCACCCAGTGGTTCTAAATAAAACACAACGCCCCCTTTTATTTTTTAATAATTGCATTTTATTAATTGAAAAACAATAAACAGAAAAAAAAAAATGCAAAAAAAAAAAAAAAAAAAAGGAGCAGAACCAGAACAGTAGCATTAGGTAAGACAAGGCGAGAGACACTTAAATAAGAGTTCCATGTAGGTGGGGACTACGGTGAAGGCGAGTCGATGTGGGAGCGGGTGGAAGGACAGGTTAGATTATGTACACTTGTTTCTCACTGCAGGACTGGAAGGGCCCCATAAAAAGGGAGGGGGTCGGAGACGCTAAAACACCAGAGAGAAAGGCACTATCCAGAGAGAGCAAGAAAAAAAAAAACAAACCCAGAAAACACAAGGACAAACACTGGACAGAACGGAGATCGAAATCTTTGACCAAAAAAAAAAACAAAACAAAACCAAGTGCTCGACACCACATTTGACAAAAATCAACAACATTTAAGCTGATCTGTCATCTGAACAACAAAAAAATGACAATCTCTCAGTTTTGGGAAGTGTTCATGTGTGCCAGTTGCCGACTGTTTTTTTTTTTTACATGCGATTATCCAATCTTGGCCCCCCATGCTATGCGCACGTATGACGAGGAGAGTTTTTGAGAAACGTATGCACGTTAACTAGCTGGACTGAACTTGGGACCAATGAACGTGCATAACATTACAGCGTGTTTTCCCTTGCGCGGCCGCGTAGTTCACTTCTTCGGGCCTGCTTCCCTCATGCTAAGATCTGTGGACTCAGTCAGGTACATTCAAATGGTTGCAACGAACGCAATGTCTTGAGGGGGCGGGGCGGGGCAGGGGGGGGGTGGCCGACATCACACATGGCTTGCATTCGCGGCTGCGTACCCTTGCCGCTCAACGACAGGAGCTTTCCAGCTCGATTGGTTTCTTCTCCCGGTGCCAAGTGGACTTCCCTTGCGCGAGGAACGTCGTCGCGTTATCCGAGACCTCTCAGAAAGAAACTTGAAGGACAATTCAGCACATTCTACAGCTACCAGGTCTTATCCAGACAAACCATTGAACATAAGTTACAAATTTGTGATGAGAGGTAATACAGACAAACACATACAAATATATAATATATATATATTCTTAAAAAATGGATTCTCTCTATAGTTGATTTATTTATACAGCCAGTGGCTGATGTACAATGCTCACGAGCCAATCATCGTAGACATGGAAACTTGCTGTATATGGCATCAGTTTGCTTATTTTTTTTCTTCAGTTTTTTAAAAAAAACAATTTCTTTTATTTTATTTTTTTTAAACATTTTTCCTGTGTTTTTCCTTTAAAACGGATGTGGCCGATAAAAGAACATGCGGCAAAAGCAAACACAAGGCGGCAGAATGTTAAGAAGTTAAGGAGGAGACAGAAGCGGCTCGTGGGAGTCGAATCATTTGGTTCTCTCTTTCCCTCGGTTGCAATCCTCACCGAGGCGCTCACGGTCTCGGTGCAAGTCGAGGTGGATTTTGCTCAGCTGCCACCCACCACAAAACACCGCCTATGACGGCGCTCCTGTCGGATATCTCTCTTTCTCTCACTTTTCATTTGTTTGCATTCTTCCTCTCTGCTCCTGCTATTGTGGGGTTGGTGAAGAGGAGGGGGGGGGGGTTGTTTGGGGATCAGATGAGGGTGGAGGGACTGATGACATCTAGAATGATGACTATGATGATGATGGTTGTGGTGGTGATGGTGGTGTGATGGCCGTTTACATGGCGGGACTGTTTCACATGTTCCGATTGACCGGCGTGACGTAGTTGCGCGGGAACATGCCCGTTTGGCCGTGGCAACCGCCTTTCCACCAGTTGGGGTCAGAGTTGTCCAGCACTTGGATGAAGTCGCCGCGTCGGAAACCCAACTCGCCTTCCTCCTGGGGGTCGAAGTCAAAGAGCGCCTGCACGTATGTGGGATGCTGTCCCAAACGAGGAAACACAAGCGGGCGGGTGTTAGCCAAGGTGCACCGGCATCACAGCAAGGGAGAAAAAAAAAAAACTGGAACAGTAGTAACAGTGGGGACTGATGTAACTCTTAATTACAGTACACCAATGAGATTAAGGCCGGATATTACACTGCACACTTAGAATCACATTTCCAAATTTCAACAGGGATGTGTGCCACGGCAGTGTGAAGGGGGGGGGGGAAAAAAAAAAAAAACGGAAACAAAATGAAATAAAATTAACATCTATGCTAATTTCTTGTTTGTTGCTACATGTTAGCATTATGCTAGTGTAATCTTGTTCAATGCAAATATTTTGTTGCTTCATTATATCACGTTTAATAGTCTATAATGTTCACTAACAACAAGATAGCACAAATCCAAATAGCTCCACAGGAAGTTACCGTGCTCGTCGTTACCTGGTGGACCTGCTCGATGTCCCGCAAAAAGATTTGCTGGTTACGGGAGACGGAGGTGGAGCGATGGTAGTCCACCAGCTCGTTGAGGGAGTTAAACTTCACCACCCACAGGAAATACTTGCCGGCGCCGTCACGGAGAACCTTGAAGTGCTGCACATCGTTCCCAAACCTGCAAAGGGGCGGGCACGGCCAGAAAAGCATTTAGGCGTGACGATGAAATTGCTCATTCATTCGAGTGGAGAAACAAGACGCGTCTTTCGGGAAGGTCAAACTGGAAAGGCAGAAGAGGAAGTAAGGTCGTTTTACGAAGCAAATACTGGAAAAGAAGATAATGGGTCAACGCGGCTCGGACTTCACGAGAATAAGGAAGCGGCCGCGTTGATGACTCAGGCCGCCGGAGCTCAAAAATGTGTGATGCTGGTCGATTGTTCTGAGAGCGAGCGATGACGGACGTCGAACATCGAACCCCGGTTTGCGCGGCGCTACTCACTTGACTGAGAGGGAGAAGTCGCCTGGCGCACTCTCACTCTCTCGAATGAGGAAGGCGCCGTCGTGCCTTTGCTTGTTGAGCATCTCCTCTGCTTTGGCCCGAGGGATTTTCCCAAAGAACCACCTGGAGGAGAAAACAAACAATCGGGGTGACTATTTGGACCTCAAGAAATACAAGCATCTTGACCGATATCGTGTGCCGATACGCGGGGCGTGTCTCCGCAAGTACAACCATGTACGAGTCGATCGGTAGCGTTGCTAAGCAACAGAGGGGCATCCCGCGATGTACATTTTGTACCCAAGCAAGGTCGCGGCGGCGGCAGTTAACTTCTCACGGTTCGTCGGAACAAAGGCCTTTTCACCATTTTGTCCTTATGAAGGTGTTTGGTGAGGGCAAAATCGGCCAATGGACTTTGAAATGTGACCGGAAACGTAAACGGGGTACGTTGAAATGTTTCTGTCATTAACTTGTTTCAACGGAACAAGTGACCACGCAAGTACATGTATGCAGACTTGGTCTGGGGGGGAAAAAAGGTGGTATCAATGCATCCTGAACAATTGACCCAGTGGGCAAAAAGGTTTCATTGCACAACAATGCTAAAGTCAATATCTCATTAAGGACAAAAGCCTGCAGCCTCTGACATGGAAAGCAGTCGAGCTTTCAAGCGAGTACGACTGACGTCACTTTGTTTTGCTTTTGGTGATGTTTGGGGAGCAACTCATTCTCGTTCAAGTACTCTTCCGGCCGTGCCATGCTCGGATTTAGCAGCAAATTGGATCTTTGCGCGTCCCATTCGACACAGCGGCTACTTCTTCCACTGATGTTCGCCGACAGTGCGACGCTTGCCAACCGATCACACTCGGCATGCCACATAAAGCCGACGCATGACTCAAGTGCACGAAAAGCCACAGCGGCCGCCCACGTTATGAACGCTTGAAAAATCAAACGAGTCCAAGTGTCAAAACTAACTCTGGCATGAATGATTTTTTTTATTTTTCTGAAATGTGTCGCTCGCTCCCAGACTGACATTTCCCGGGGAACCGCGCCGCTGGCAAGAATGATTATCACGATGCCCGTTTGCCCCTCTTTTATGACAAGTTACAGACCCATTTAGTGACTCATTTTCTGCACTGCCAATTAGAAGCAATGTCCTAGTTTTCCCGAGCGTAAACGGATGGAAATTTAACAAATGCTCTTTTTTAATAATCGGATTTATCAACTAATAAAATCTGCAGATTAATCGATTATTGAAGGAGAAAAAAAAACAGTAGCTATAGTTATAAAATTGAAATTTTTATCCAATCGTTTTTGGGCAACTGAACACCCTGATCAGAAGACGCCTGGTAAACACAAGAAAATCCTGCGGCATGACTATTTGCTGTAGCCTGTTAGCAATTTCATTAATAATTTATCGTGGAAGGCCCAACAATGGCCCGATGACGGCGAGTCAACGCATGAAAAATAGGCTCAGTCGAGTTATCCAGAGTATGTTTGGTTTTGTGGTTGTGTAGTAATGGCCGGCCGTCCATTTTCTGAACTGTTTGCCCTCATTCGGGTCATAGGCCGTTTGCAGGGGTGGGGAAAAAAAAAAAAAAGAGGCGTGGCTATGAGAATCCAAGCATGCAGAAAAGTTGTCAACATGACAAAGAGCAGTACCCAAGTACTTACGGGTGGGCCTTCATTTCGATGTAATTCTTGGGAATGAAGCCATCTTTCCCATTTAGCTCCGCCTTGTACCAGTTCTGATCACACTCTTCATTTAATACCTGTCGATGACATAAAAACAGGGGTGGTTCATGTCACGCACGATCACGTAAACAACGGAAAGCAGACGACATCACCGAATGGCAATTTTGCCTTCGGATGCGGACACACGACAAACGGCAGAGTACCATTAAAAATACGATATAGTCAGCAAATGAGCCAACTGCTGAACAATTTACGGTGAACAAGTACCGTACAGTAGGGAACACGCGAAGGGTGCCGTAGAAAGACGAATTGAGATGAACATGACCAAATGGAAAGGAATGATTACTGGTTGAAGCTACTTCGACCAGTGGCCCGGTGAGAACGTGACTTGATATTGAGATAGCGATTGTTTCGCTCTCATTCTCAAGTGTTGAATGACGACCACTCTTGAAATAGAATGAGCGGAAACAAATGCAGCGATGGGAGTTACCTCAGCCACAATCTCAAGTGATATTTCTGGATTGCATCATTTGTTGCGTGTGCGTGCGGCTGGTGGGTTTTTACTGTATAATCCTCTCACTCCGTTCCAAAATAGAACGCAGACCTTTTACTTATGGGGGTAAGAATGTCGGTAGCATTGTTGCGGTTCACATTCACTTTTGTCTAAAACGTCTTTTTGCTCTCAAAGTAACCACGAGTGACGTTGTTTCATTTCACTCCAATGGCATGTTTAAGCAAAAACTCACCTGCTTCTTGCAGCCTAACCAATTCGTTAAAAAAAAAAAAAAAAAGCCAAAGCAGTCATTGTGATGCAGATGAGCATGAATGCGTGACAAAAGCCAGGCAGTCACACGATTGAGACTTTGAGCGGCTTGATCGTATTAATCTCAACCCTTGGAAGCAGTCAGGCAGAATCCTGCGTTGACGAATGACTCAGTTTCACTCATTAGAATTTCACAAGCTCAGAGGCTTGACTTCCTTTGATCGCATCGCAGCTCCATAATTCAAAGAGGAAAAGATGCTTTTTTTTAGGGGGGGCAGCGAGATCTCTTGCTGTTAAAAATCCGACGTCCTCGGCCTCTCGCGTTTTCCGGATCACTTTGCCTCTCCCTGAAAACTTGCATTGTTTCCCCCACCCGGCCCAGACAGCTGTCCCGTTGGCCCTGGCGGATTGTAGGTGGCCCGGGTCTTTTTGTTGCAGCGAGCTCGCAGAATGCCAGCTGTCATTTGCTTTTCTCAGCTGCTAACCCTCGTATACCTAACCGAGCGCTCGAGGCAGCGGACTTCAAATACAAGTTGGTGGAAGCATGTCAGCGGTACAAGCGGCTGCGCGGTCTGTTTTAGACGAGGAGCCAGAAACGGTGGCAGTGCCGCGAATAGACATCATGTCTCAGGTCATCGTCGGGAGCATCGTCCACTCGCAAGCACCAATCAACTCTGCGCAAATGTCCCGTCAAGTGATATGCTAACTCATATTTATTGAACAGAACAATTTTGAGTCACTTCTTCGGTTCAGTCATCACTGCACAGATTGGAGGACGGTGACATGTCAAAAGCAGCGCATTCAACAAAACAGGACAAAAGGAGTCATGTGCGCTTCCTGAAGACACGCCGGTGCTTGTCTTGTCAATTTGCCAGTGAAGTCATTTTACCGCAGAACACAGGACCACCTCTGCGAAAAGATGACACCCTACGGACAGCGCAGCGTAATCTGTGACTGAGTCATTAGGCCCGCCAAATCAAAGTGCACAGATGGTTATCTGATATGAATAATCCACATTGAGGCGGCCCCGAAAAACACAACGTACTGGATACTGGTGACAGGGCAGTGTTTACCAAAATGAGCGGCGACACAGCACATCATTTTCCCTCCATTTGGGTTAGGCCTGGTTATAATTAAATCAAAGCCATTGGAATCGGTCGGCTTTTTCATGTGCTGTCTCCAGGAACCAAAGCAGAACCAAATATCTGCTTGGCAGGCAGTTTTCAGACCATAGCGAAATGGCACAACCACAGCCATATGTCTACGGCGGAGTCGTCTCTACTCCAAGGCACGCCATTGGAAGATTTGTATCCTCTTTTTGCTGACTATTTGTTTTGGTCTTTTTAATCTGATTGGGCCACAACAGATCGAAATTGCTATTTGACAGACTCGGGTCCATACCAGGGATTATCTTCTCCACAGCTGCCACTGCAGACCTCCTTTCGCACATTTGATTATGAGAGCGCTTGAATCGTCACAGCCATGAATGAACAGACATGGCTGTCCTGAACGCAACTTCTCGTCCTGTGTACTTTGTTCAGCACGTCAGCTCCGTTACTGTAGAACTGACAGTCAGGGATCCAGTTGCTTCATTTCAATGTAATTATGTCTTCCCACTTGTCTACAACAATTGGGAAACAATAATGGAGGATCATACAACTTATTTTCTGAAGTCGAGAAATGCACCAAAGGCACACACACACCTGAGAGTGGTGTCACGGAATCAGAATGAATTTCCAAATGCAGCCTGTGTTGATGGCAATAACCGAGTTCCGGTTGGACGAAACGCCAGGTTTTAACTATGCAAAGTTCTTCTTTTTAAGTTTAAAATGGCTTACCCGAACGAGTCTCCCGTGTGTCTTCGTGACCAAAACTAGAATAGTGTTTGGTCATTGTGCCCTTTGGTGCTTGTTGTGGCGTAAGAAAGCTGCATGCTAAATTTAGAATGTCACACATTGGTTGCCATGACTACTGCTTCTTCTTCTGCTGCTGCTACCATTTCTTCTACTTCCGTTTGGCGGTTGACACATGGTTGGTGCATTCCAGTCATAAAGAAGTTGGCCAGCGACGGTAATGCATGATTACTACCAGTTCTTCTCCTCCTTTTTAGAGGTTGGCAGCATTTGCCAAGAGAGGTGGGGAGCTGGAATTTTAATACACACAAGTCGCACTTGCGTAGCGGTCGCAGGACTACAAAATAAAATGGCAATTTATATATGGAAATTGTTGAGCCTTAACAAAGCGCAAACGAGGGAGTTGGAGACAACAAGATGACAAATGCACTTGCGCAGTCCATATGGGATGGAAATAAATCAAGAGCAGGGATTTAGTGCGAGATAATCCGGGCATGAGACACAGCTCGCTCGCTGGAGAAAGACAAATTCAGATTCTGAATTCTTTTTGGCCTCAGAGCAACCCCTCCTACTCAATCGCATAAAATACCGATTAGCAATTTAGACCACAGGAAACGGTCGGTTCTAAAAGGGGCATGCAGAAAACAGTAAACCAACACGAAATTAAGGAACGTAACAAGAGCAGAATAATTCCAACATACAGATTTTTCCACTTCTAACGCGGCCTGAGAGCTATTTCAAAGGCTCATGATGTAATCGTCATGGAAACGGGGTGTTAGTCAGACAACACCAAACCGTGCCCCAAAGAACGGTCATCATATGACATGATATGACACATCAACACACAGTCAGTACTCTTCAGTAGACCCGTGTTGTGTAGTCTACTGTTGTGGGCTGATGTCTCCTTCACCTTATCTGAAAAAATAAAATAAAGGCGCCTCAGTCAACCTTGTTGGATCCATCACCAAAGGATTAACTCTGCCTCGGGGTGCGCAGTATGTGGTAGATGGTAAAAAATGTGGCCTACTTTACAGATTTAGACTCTCCCAACCAATGGGATAATGCTCGGTGACTCAGTGGGGCTCAAAGGGACAGCCCACGCGCGCGCGTATGGAGGTTCCCCCACAGGTGGACGCACAGGCCCGCCGCCCCGTTGGCCCCGCCCTTTGTGCGTTCTCATTGAATTGGCCTCAATGGGGAAAATGATTTCAAGCATGTCTAATCACAGAGCTGGAGGAGCTGCCAGCCCTGCATGCCACTCCGTCAAACACTTAACCCATCCTCCCTACTTTAATCATAATATTCATTTCAAACAATGGATTTAGAAAGCACTTTTCTAGATACTCAAAGACGCTTCACGGCAATGTTAAGCGCAAAGCGTCTGACATGACTAGGCCTCTTCGGGCGGACGCCCTGACAGTGCAACAAGTACAAAAAATATAATACATTTCTATAGTGTGTGTGTGTGTGTGGTCAGGCATAGGTTCCAGTCACAGAAGTGGCATTTGTTTCAACAAAAAATCCGTATTGGGCATCACGTCCTGCGGTGTGAACACAGCCTTGCATCCCATCTATTTGACGGCGGCATCGGGGATAATAACTACATGCGGTTGTGATATTGTGCACCTCGCATTCTATCCCGCAGACTGCTTTGATTTCCACTGAGGACTTTGAAACGAGCGGTAAATTCCACGATGGTGGAGTCGTGGATTCCTGCGGGGACGGTGCAGTGAAGGTTTTTCAAATAAAATACCAAAGTGAAGCACTTGAAGCACTTAAGACAACATTCTACGTCCCATTTAATAATGTATTCCTCCCTTTTCATTCAACTGTGTCACAAAAATATTTTACCTCGACTTTTTCAGCAACGTCCCAAAATGTGATCTCCTGCATGATAAGCAAGCAGGCGTTTTTTTTATTTATTTTTTTTTAACCGTTCTGTCCATCCATTTGAAGGCCCACAAGCAGCCAAGAAATCCACAGCAAACCAGAGCAGATTTGCGTAGTCCCAAAGTACTTAAGTCAAAGCATGGATTTGGATTTGGATGGAAACGCACACAGTGTATGCTTCTGACATTTCGCTATCAAAAGGCAGCGCTGACAAACCACTTTTCATCGAGCGGGATCAATAGCCGGAGTATTAGGCAAAGTGGGGCCCATTAATCAGGGATGGGCGGAGAGGCTTCATGGAAAGTAAGGCGGCAACAGGCTTAAAAGCTTCTTTCGAGGATCCCGTTGAAGCGGTCTGACACAGAAAAGACAGTGAGGCAGAAGAGAAGAACCTTTCAAAGTGAAAACGGCAAAGCGAGGAGAGTAAAACGGCTGAGGTTTGGCAACTTGTGTTTCTCAGCACAACGCCGTCCGTGGTAGCTGCAGACAAGGCTTGCTGGAGTTGACTGTGGAGATGCAGGAAGTTGCAGGGGGGGTTTGGACGACACAAACAGGATGTGAAAAAAGCGACGCTGTGGTATTAATATAAACGCACGCAGTTACAATAAACTTGCACTACTGTTGGGACAAACTACACTGTCTCCCGAAACCTCATTTGTCCTCAGAGTTTTGGGATGGGAAAAAAAAAAAACTGCCAGTTGCAAATGATTCCAAGAAGGAAAAAAAATTGGCCAAGAAAGGTTAACATTTTTAGAAAAGGAATGGGAATAGGCTGAATGACTGCTGATTTCATGTTTGATAGTTTCTGATTGCTGAGAGAGCCAGAAAGCACAAAAAGCAAAAAAAAAAAAAAAAAGAAAAGGACAGAAAAAGAAAAAAGAGAAAGAAAGACGCAGACAGAAAGAAAAAATGGGAAAAATAGACAGCACAAAAGAAAGAAACAAAGTGTGAGAAGCTAGAGATCTATGCTTTGTTTAAAAAAAAAAAAAAAAAAGCAGCTTTTGAAAGCGATACTCTAGATAACTAAAGAACGACTTGCGTAAAGAGATCCTGATTTGATCATTGAGCCGGGTAACTTCCCTCTCAACACTCAGATGCTTTGTGTGTGAAATAAACAACATGGCCCTTTCCAAATGGATTCCAAACAAGCTGAGATACGATTTTATCTGGATGAATGTTCTCGTCCTCACTTCTCATTTTATTTAATGCCACCAATGATGGATGAACAAGGTCCTTCGCTACGCTCTCATTAAAACACTTTTTTTTTTAATTCAGGTCCATACCACAAATGTTGTGGACTTGGTGAAAGGAGCGCTCATCATCAACAACTCTGAAGAGATGCGATGCGATCGTTAACTTATTGCACTTGCGGGGCAGAGAGAAGTCGGCGGGTAGTCAGCCAACGCGACGAGCACAATGAGTTTCAATTAGAAGTATTGACATAGAGCGCCGAGATCTGTTGACAGGAGCTTATTCTGTCAGCGCGACGGGCTGTTAATCTTTATTTATTCAAAGAGGAAATGAGCACAGTGCTTGGGGCAGTGGCAGACCTTCGCACTAAGACGTCCCGCTTTGCCTCCACATCGGCGGCCGTGAACATCAAGAACAGCAGATAGGCAACATCCTGAAAAAAAAAAAAAGTGGCGCAGGAGTCCATACGGCAACCTAACCACCATCTAAGTCACTTTTCTATGTCGCGGTCTTCCCTTAACCGTTAACCCGCACAAAGACGACGAGACTGTGATATACCGAGGTGATGCTTTGCTTCATGACTCACGAGAGGCCAAATGACAGAACTAAACGTTGCCGAATGACTCAAGGCTGCAAATTAGAAGGGAGCCCGGTCGGGGCGGCCAGCTGTTGTGAAACACAGCGATGCAGTGATTGCTCGCTGGAGGCGAGTTGCGGAACCTGATTACTAAATATCCCGGCGACAGTGGACAATGTGGGCCTTTCTTACATCTTAACCCGTGGCCGCAGAAACCTCTCTCAGATGCACGAATCTCCGTTGGGGCGCGCAGCTCCGAGGACACGTGCGATGTACGTACAACTCTGTGATTGGACTGCAATTATCACCTTGAGTTCAATGAATTCGACATCGATCCAAAGAACCGTGACCATGGCTGGATAAGTCAGAATCGGCCTCCGGCTTGCTTTGACCGCATAAACATTGGCGCCGCTGAGAACCAATTCGCGCTTCGCCCACCGGAAGCCAAATTTCAGCGACGCGGAGCACATGCGCCGTTTCGGTCCGTCTGATCACATCTGTATCTGGGCAAGTGGTGTTGGTTGTTGCGTACACAAAGAGTTTGGGCAATATGGTTGATAAAAAAATGGAAGATCAATTAAAAACAACTACATTTATTCAAGATAAAACAAATATAAACAACTATGAAGAGGAACATTACCATTGAAAATATTTGGTCGTAAAACACCCGTGTGATCCAAATGTCGTCTTTGGTGCTTGCAATTGTGCCACAAATCTCACGTCAGACCGAAGCCTCTGCCACCAACAGCGCGCAGAATGACGGGGTCAGGGTTAGCTTCCTGATTTTTTTTTTTTGGGGGGGGGGGTGCAATTTCAATTGCTATTGATCAGGTGTCAAACGCGACTGGCCCGGAAGAACGACGTCGTGATAATAGGTTTAATCACTTGAGTTGCCCGATAAAATGCGACTAAATAATACAGCTTTCCTTTGAAAGAGAAACTCCTGAAAATGTAGTTACACACTAAGCAGTTACAAGTTACATAACATGGTTCCATTTTCTTCCCACCATGCATCTGTCTCGGTCAGACACAGCTGTAAAGGATGGCCGCAGTTAGAAGGGGAGGAAACAAGAGGAAGAGGGGAAAACGGGCTCAAGAAGATGAAAGAGCGAGAGAAAGGAGGATTCAATCCGACAGAGGGGAAGAACGCCGGCCGGGCCTGCTTCTCAAAGCAAATTAGTCCAACGGGGAAAGCAGCCAACAAATGATTCAGATGAATCGCCCATGGCGCCGGGGGCAGTATGATGGCAGTCTATTTTCGACTCAACTTCTCTCTAGAAATAACTTGAAAAGAAAAAAAAAAAAATCGCAAGTTCGAGCAGCAATATAAATTTGGATAACGACGACTTGTAAGAGGAAAAAAAAAAACAATCTGTCCATGTTTCACATTTTAATGGCTGTTACATGCAAGATTTAAAATGCAAATTTTAAAAAAAGTTGAATTGTTGAGTGTACGCTGGACTCAAAGAGAACATTTTAAGGAAAACATACAAGTCACCAACGACTTGCAAGACAGCCAGATTTTTTTCGATGCGACAATGAACTTTATTCCTGCTTCAATGTTGAGCACACAATTTTACTGTGGGATCACTATTATTCTTTTATCTCTGGGGCAACCAACACAAAAAGCAAAAGGGAAAAAAAAAATGCAAAACAGAAAGTGTTACGCTCATAAACCACACTAGATCTGGTGGCATTTTACCTGTTGCGAATGATGGATTAAATGTAGATATTGTTTGAAGATTTGGCCATTCAATTTTGGACCTTCCGCTGTCGCATTGATTTCTGCACATTCAGTAAAAACATAGCTATGCACTCTACTGTGGAAATAGTGGACACCAAGTACACTAATAATTGCAGGGCCGCGGGGACCAAGCCAGGCCACGATAAGTGAAAAGCCACAATCAGGCTTATTATAGTTCTGGAATTTGAATTATAGTTAGTCTTTATTTTGTTTTGAGTCTTGATTTTGTCATTTAGTGTTCAGCCATTGTCAGGGCGGCATTGTTAATTTTTAATTACATGATAATTATTTTTAAACACTTAATTTTAGTTTTCGTTTTTTAAAAAAAGTATGTAAGCGAGCGTGCTGCGTGACCACATACTCATATGCAAACGAGTTGATAACCTCAGAACACATGCATTTAAGGAATAAAACAAACCGAGGACCCGCTGTGATGTCTCGTTTTTGGCATTCAAACAGCGCTTACATAAAGCCACACGGACAAAGTATTCCTTCCAATGAAAAGCAAATGATTTCCACATACCTTAAGGACCTCTCCGCGCTTAAAGCTAAGCTCATCTTCAGCAGTCGCTTTGAAATCGTATTTGGCAATGGCCTCCATGGCGTGCGTGCGAGATAACGTCTTGGCTCAAGTTGGGATTCAGGGACTGAATCAAAAAATAAAAACAGCGCTTATCCCAGCTCCAGATGCTTTGCTCCCGAGTCTCTCCTCCCGTCTGTGACCCGTTGCTTTACAGCTTTGACCTTACATAAAGGTCGCAGCGAGGTTCCTGCAAAAAGGGAGAGAGAAAGAGCCGACTAAAACAGACGGGCCTGGCAAAAATGCACGTTTGTGCAAAACGTTGTTCAAAAGAAGCTGGGATGTGTCATCCTCATGCAAACAGACACCGTGACAATTGACGGCAACTGCTTTTGCATTATAAAATGAGTAAAATGGCGTTTGTGAGGACATTCACTCAATCCCTTGCCTGTCGTTGACTCCTAAGCACCTGTGCAGACTGGAGATTATCCAGAGCAGTCAGTGATACATTAGTGCAACCTACACTTGCTAAACGGATAAAGCAGCATTATCTCATTAGGTTGTTTACGATATGCATCAATCTAATACAGCCGGACGATCCCTAAGGTCATTAAACCTGACTTGCACGTTGCACGCCAACAGCGAAAATTGTTACTTTATATATATACTGGATATATAAACACACACACACTGTATAAGCGTTCTAAACGTGAGTCAGAGACGTTACAACAGAGGATGTGAGACACTTCTAGAAAAGTCGTGAAGAGTGCGCAAGGCAAGCACATAAATATGACTGCAATCCGCGGAAACAGTTTCATCTATTAAGTGATCGTCAGAAAAGTTAGGAACAAATCATTGTTATCTGTCGATAAAAAGAAGGAGCTGGTGTTCGAATGGCACGATCGTGCTTTCATTGCCACTAATCTTGATATGTTTTCCCCAGTAGTGTCGGCTGGGATGTAAATGTACACAAACGACATATTTGGGATGATATCGTGCTTTGAAGCATTCCCACAGACCTCTCTGCCTTTAGCCCCCAAAAGACTGCGCCCAGTCAACTGGGAGGCTAAAAGGTTAGCATACCGGCTAACGGTCGGATAACAATAACTCAAGTGATTCTCCAACTCCCACTAATCTATCACAACCAGCTAAAGCAGAGGTGACATTAGTCAACAAGTGAAAGCGTGTTTAAGTCAAGCGACGCGTTGCTAAACGACGGGGAAACTTGCCGCTTGCTTCGCGTTGGCAAATTTGACAAGAGGGAAAACAGCTTTTTTTTTTCTCACAGCGCAAGCTGTTGTTGCTAGCATAGTGGCACAGTTAGCCCCACTAGCCTCACTTAACTTGACTAGCCTGCGTCGCGAAAAGGGAACAGCCGTACACAACTTTGACGCGTAAAGACTGGGAGGGGAAACTCACCACTCGATATATTCCGTGTCGATGTTACCACCGTAACAATGGAATCCAGATCGCGTTGTTAGCCGCTCCTCGTTCTCGGTTTTGGTGGTGGAAAAACAAAAAAAATCCCCCGATGTGTGTCATGTATCGCTTCCAGCCCGTCCTCGGAGCCTGACTCGAGCGTTAGCTTAAGCTTGGCGACGTTTATTTCCGCTTCCTTTCACTGAGCAGGGATGGTCACCTCGGTAGACATACAAACCTTAGATCGCAGACTTGAGCGCCGTGTCGTACGCCATATCATACAATACAATACATCTTTATTTATATAGTGCTTTCATCTCACAACAGCTGCAGATGTAACAAAGTGCCTTACAGAACATCGAACAAAATAAAAATAATACAACAGAACACATAACATAACATCGCCAATAATACTCAACTCAGCTGTATTTATCGAGCAATTTAAAACAACCACTGCTGTATACAAAGTGCTGTACATGCAGCAAAAACAATGCATACAATAATAAACAGCAAATTAATACCGAAGACAATAAAAAGCACGAAAACAGTACTAATACTTTAAGTCTGTAATAGTTGCGTACTGTGAATCTTCACAGTGAATTTTACAGACATTTACAAAGCATTGCACATCTCATTTGTGTCGGCAGAACAAGGTGGGAAATTTCATTCACATTATTTGGGATTGCACAAGGATTCTAGATTTCTGTAAAAGTATTCAGACAGAAATAAAGAGAATATTTGGTTGGGAATTGAAGCTTGATTCATTGCTTAACATGCTTGGAATCTTGCCAAAAGATTTATTGGTCAGTGAACCTAGGTATTTACTATGTTTTAGGTAGCAAAGAAAATGATTATAATCTCTTGGTTGAACCCCCAACATAATACAATGGAGAGACAGAGTAAAGAAAGTGGTCATTAGGGTAAAGGCAACAATAAGAATACGATTAAAACTAGATCGATTCGAGAAAAGACAGAAATCTACAACACAACTTTGATTTGATTTCTAAACACCTTTCTTTTTTTCCTCTTGTCGTTTTTTTGTTTGTGTATTTTTTCTGGATCTTGTTACTATATTGTGTGATTTATGTCAATTGAGGGTTACATTGACTCCTGATCAGAAACAGGGTAAAATTCTGTACATCTCATTGTTAATCTGTGTGTGAAAAAAAGTTTAATTATTTTTATGCCTATCTATTTCCAAAACGATATCAGTGTGTGTGCAGATTAGTGAAGAGACATTTAACTTTGAAATCGTTGTGTGAAGTTCGGGCCATTTACAGTAGTTGCATTACCGTAGGTTGCTGGTAGATCTAACACATCCAATATGGCGAACCCTCGAACGTATCGGAGCAACGGGAAATATGATCCCACAGACGTCTACGTATGATGTTTATTTTATGTCACAGTGCTTGTAGGAACTGAAACTCCGCCCGCCCCGGCTGTTCCCCTTTTCTCCCCCCAACGTAACTGTCACCACCAAAACGGCCTCTTTCATCCGTGTGATTATTCATCTACATCGCGGGGGAGGGGGCATTTTTGGGGCTCAGGGACCACATTTGTGTTTTAAAACTCTTTTTTTTTAACTTCAATTTATTTTGAACAAAGACAAAACCTCTGATAGTTGTCATTTTGATTTTGCACTTAAAACATATTTATTACAAAATGAATGCTTAATTTTGAACTTAAATTCTCTATTGCAGAGTGACTCTTCTACCTTTTGGTAGAATGAAATAAGTATTTCTTTAGAATGCTCTGGAAATGGTTTTATAGAAATTTAATGTATCAAAAGCACTAGTGTATTGGTTACTTGGTACCAGTGAGTTGCAATTGTTGAGGACTTATCCTGGTATGCGTCTGAAAAAAAGTGGTACTGAACAGCCCTAATGTATTTTGACTGACACTGCTATCAACGTATCTCTTCCCGTTCCCTCTCCATCATGTGTCTATCAGGCATCTTCAAAGGATGGGTAGTTTTATTTTCTTTAGCTTCATTTACTACTCAGTGGCTAACTTATTATTACTCGTAGAGTGTAGGGACTTTTGGATATGTAAGAAGTATAGAAAACAAATGGACGTTAATGGCCATTTACAGTATTCCATCCGAGTAATGCATGCGGGCGTCCATGCAATGCGTGGTTGCAACTGGGCGTGTCCACAGAATAAAGTCTGATAATTCTGCCAAACACGGAATTCCCGTGGAATGCAGTTTGACCGCACGCATGACTCACGTTGGTGTCATCTTCATGGTTTTAGATGGATGATGCTTAATACAGCTACTCCACACTTTGTTTTATTACGGTATTTGTGATCATTACTGACACAAATTTAAAGGAAGCCCTCCGTCTTAATTCAAACAAAAACACAGATGAGAAAAAAAAACACATTTATTTGACTTTCCAATTCACTTCTCTTCATTTTAATATTAAATGTTACCAAAGTATCTTAAATACACCCAAGTTTGATCTCTACAATTATGATTTTAGTAGTCCTACATGCAAAATATTTTTGGATGAGATACACGCATACAATGAAATTACAGGGATGTATCACTGGTGAGCTATTTTTAGAACAGGCTGGTTGGATGACCGATGCCCGAGTCTTCTTTGAACCACACCTACAAGTTTTGGGAGGTGTTTTTTCTTTTTTTTTTTTTGAGGGTCATAGACTCACGTTAAGCAAATTATTGGTAACAGTGCTAATGACTACATAAACTCGTCACATCACAATGACCTAGACGACCTTGTGATATTTCCTCGTATTGCTTTGTTATCATTTTTCATCCATCTGGGTTTCAAAGTTGGACCCCATCCGGAACAGAGACGAATTCCTCGTTACTACTGACACCTGGCGGTCAGATTTCAATTGTCGTCGTAGACTAAAATCATTATCGCAACTTCATGTTTTTGGATGTGACTTTATTGTTTTTAGTATCGACATCACTTTGCAGTGTCGCACAAGTGGACTGCATTATACCAACAAGTGTTTATAACATTCGAAATAAAATGTTTCGTTCAACAAGGATCCAAAATGTTAGGAACAGCTCAGTGCGTGATACAATGGCAAGCCTGGCAAAAACTCCCGAATCGGCTCCAACACAGACGAGACTATTGTTCAATCGATAGAAACCGGTGATGAAATCAGAGTTAGAACCATTTGGGGTCAAGTTACTGAGACGTCAAGTTAAAAACATTTTACAGAGGTTGTCAATAATTTATACCAAAAGGAATTGACTTGTGAGAAAGTTGTGTTTAATGTGAAATCCAGAAAATGTCGGTACATGTAGCAGATATAGAAAGTCCAATACAGGGACCTTTGTGGATTGTGTCAGGTTTGACCACGCCCCCCCCCCCCCCCACATAACAACATGAAACAATTCTGATAGTACACGTCAGTACAAAACCTCAATATTTAAAAAAAAAAGTTAGTAATAAAATAGACTCTATAAGCATCTTTCATCATTCCTTTTGTTGAATAGCGTTGAGTCGACCGCAGCTGTGTAGCGGGTCTCTCCAAATGGTGTTATTCCAGTGTGCCACTTTTACAATGTGTAAAACACAAAATTGAAAAGGCCAGACAGGATAGTCATGGAGGAAGTGGCAATGGGCAATTCCGATGTTTGAGGAGCACCTAGATGTGCCTTTCTTCCTACATCACAAAAAGCAGGATTACACAGTAACGCGATCGTTGGTGAAAGTTATTCAAGTTTAGCTGTCTTTTTAAATACACATTTTCAATTGGTCCTGGCAATATTTCATGCGCAGGGCTTCAACTTCATTTACCTTAATTGCTGTATAGAATTCTAACAATCATAAACGTGCGTGTGCACGCACACACACACACACGCATACATACATTGCTGGGTGCAAAAATAAACTAAATTCTGTTGGTGTGTAAGCAAACAAGTTGAGGATTTTTCATAGATAAAGTTTAACTTCTTAACCAAGTTGGAAGTCAGGCAATTTCCCAAATGTGCCGCGGTTCATCGGTGCATCCTCATAGAATATCTTTGCACGGAACACCTTTTCAACCAGTACCTGGGTCACTTAGAAACACAATCAAACTTTAAACAGTGTCATTATTCCTAAACTTGGATGGACATACAAATTAAGTCATATAAGAAAATAGGCCTTTTATAAAAGTGCAAATACAAAGACGATGATTGAACAGCCAATTTACAGTGCATTTTTTTTTCAGTGTTTAAACGTGTGTGTGTGTGTGTGTGTGTGTGTGTTTAACTGTACTGTATTTGAATTAAAATTTATTCTTCTCATGAGTGAATTAGCAAACACCTCAGGTTTTAAAATACAATGAACCTCCGCATATTTGCAGTTTATAGTTCAGAAATTTCCCTCATCGCTGATTTTCCATCTCTCCCCCCCATCAATTCTCTACCACTTATCTGGGTTCAGGTTGCGGGGGCAACAGCTTTAGCAGGGAACTCCAAGACTTGCCTGTCCCCAGCCACTTCTTGCAGCTCTTCCCGGGGGATCCCAAGGCCATCCGGGAGACATGGTCTCTCCAGCGTGTCCTGTCCCGTCCCCACGGCCCCCTGCCGGTGGGATATGTCCAGAACACCTCACCAAGGAGGTGTCCAGGAGGCATCCTAATCAACCCCCACACCCCTGCTCCCAAAATCTGTGGCATCTTTATGTCAAGGAACTACGTTGAAGTGAAATGAGGAGTCTAACATACACAAAAGTAGATTTGCCCCCATTTTGGTGCCGAGGAACTTTGTTGAAATGCGTCAAAGAGTTTCATTGAGGCGAATAGCGGAGGTCCACTGTATTCCACAGTCACATGTTATCAGGAGACAAAGTCCAACGGCAGCAATTCCTACAAATGACAGCAGTAACTCAACTCTGCATAGATTTAGTTTAAGACACACACAGGTAAAAAGTAACAGTACTACTGTATCAACGGAGGAGCGAAGACACTCCTTTCCAGCGATGCTTTCAGGGTGTGACATCTCAGCCAAGAAGTCGGAGGCTCCACAAGTCATTGGGAGATGTCACAGAGGCACTGATGGAAAACAGAGCCCTTCGTTACTTCACAAAACGCTCACTTCCCACACGACCCATCCATGAAGACGGATAACACTGTTCAAAGTGGCCCGAACACCATCAGAAGCAGACATTATTGAAATAAATGACCTTTTCAAGTATGCGGATGCGCCTGTATTCCCAGTAGGGTTATCATAGTCTGGCAATTTTTCATGATGGTTCATTTTTATCTTGTTTTGACTTTTGCTTTTTAAAGTCGGTTAGTTTTAATTATGCCGAGTTTTTTTTCAGCCTTTTATTTTTTTGAACAGGTTTCATTGTAATTTTTATTAGCTTTAGTGTTCATTTTATTGATTACAATATAGCGCAGTTGTCGAATGCAAGATAGCGAAAAAAAAAGTTTTTTTCCCAGTGTTTACGACATCTCCTAACCTTGATTGACAAACATCCAATGCGCATGGGAATGCTCCACGCTTACCCAGGGAGGTGGTACTGAACTGTGTCCTCTGCAGGGTGGCAAAGCCGGGCTTGTCCGAGAGCGGGACGCGGCGCGAGGCCGCGACGTCGCCGTTCCTCTGCAGCGAGGCGCAGCCGTGAAAGCTCACGTCCAGCTTTGTCTGAATGTTGCTGGAGCTGTGAGCGCGCTTGATGTCGACGCAGTCAGGGCACGCGACGTGTCCGTTCCGCAGCCGGACCTGGCGGCAGGGGAGCGCGTAGGCCTGGCGTTCGTGCTTTGTCACGGCGCTCAGGGTTCCGTTGGATTGAGACAGCTTGGTAAAATCGCCGCTTGCCGGCTTTCCCAAATGCCCGTATCCGTTCACGCGTCCTTCCCGACCCATCGGAGGCGATCTCGGGGCGTCTTTGCGCATGAAACCGGGCTTGACAAAGGCCACGAGGTTCTCTTGGCTCTGACCCTCACGGCCCCTTTGGCCCTCTGCTTGAAACGGATCTCTCGGGGATCTGGTGCTCCCCCCGAAAGGGACCTTGTTTTTTCTCAGTGTGGAATCTCTGCTCGGAGGTGCACTGTGGCTGCTGATGTGCGCTCCTAACATGGCCACTCTCTGAAGTTGGATGTCCAAAGTCCTGCCGGGCTCCTGCCTCGCTCTCTTATTCGATGACCTCACCCTCAGGGAGCCATCCTCGCTGCCCTTGACAGTGCTGCTGAGGTGCCTCTCCATAGCGGGCCTGCTCTGTCCCTCGGGGATTTTGGGGGAGTAGCATGATTCTGCGCAGCTCAGGCTACTGCCGCTTGGTGAGCTGCACTCCTGTCCGCCCTCAAAGGCTCCGCGCTGGGCGTGCGCTTGCGGCGGGGTGGCCACCAGAGCTACAATCGGCTCTTTGGTACATCGCGGACGGCGGCCCGACTCCAGATATTCCACCAGCTCCCCGGACTGAGTCTCGACCGAGTGCTTCATGCGATCCTTGGTTCTGAAGGACCATCGCAGCGGCAGGACTTTGCCGAAAGACTCCCTGGCCTTCGTCGGAGATCTCATGCTGACACTCCTTGCGTGGGTCCCGCGGACGAACGGTTTGGACTCAAATTCACCTGTTGGAATAAAAAGAAACCATATGCTAGCATGGTGGCCGAGTACATTGTTTGCCAACCTCTTTAACTCAACACAAAAATAGTAGATATAGGTCTACGTACACACCCATGATTCGGAGATAAGTCATTTTAAAGGTTTAAAATGAGATATCTTGCTCTCCTTTTTCAACCATTAATGTGACCGGTAAGCTCAACAAGTCTATTGAGTGTGTGTGTGTGTGTGTGTGTGTGTGTGTGTGTGTGTGTGTGTGTGTAACGGAGTGTACTGTATTTTATTTGCATACTTGGAGGCTGTGCGAGGTTTTGTTTACAACAAGCAATTCTGAGTGTGACAATCACAATACAAGACGGAATGCCGTATACTGTCCTCACTTGCGTCTGCGGTTTTGCGGCGCTCTTCAAACACCGGCCGAGCAGTCGAATCCGGACGTTGCATGGGCACCGGCGGCACTGAGCTGGATGCTGCTGACGCCGGGGCACCTCTGTCACTAGCCCCAGTCAGCCGCACCAGCCAGTGGTCCGAAGTGTTTGAACTGGTGGAACCTGCAAGACCAAGAGAGAAGCTGTCAAGAAGACTGCGGTTTATCCCACCGGGCATCCATCTTCTCATTTTTTTTTAGGAGATTATTACACGAGGGGTCACAAACTTTTCGGAAACTGAGAGCTATACTTTTTGTAAATCGAATTGTCACCGAAAAGGGGCATGTCCCTTTTCTCTTAAAAACATCAATAACCTCCATTTCAGGTAAATTCAAAAGACAAACTGCTTTCATACAGTTCTGACCTTTGGATGCAAAAGTCTATAATTTTGAAATACCGTTTCGATCCCCAGGCTGAAAGCGAGCAAGCAAGAGAAAAATGACACGGTCTGACTAACCAGTGAGCGAAGAACTCGCAGACCACGGCGGGATTGTTTTTCTTCTTTGATAGAAGAGGATATAGGCGCCTCGTGTGCACACGTCTCCTTCCGGAACTGCCTCGGCATTGCTGTCATCGTAGCTGTACCACTGAGCGTCCACGGAGTTTCGACAAAAGGCTGCCGGCACGGGAACAAACGAGCTTGAGAGTCAGCAAATGCATCTTGGCAATCGTCACATCGAACCATCGGAATAGGGATGCATGGAACAAGTTTTCGGGAGACTGGATGGATGTCACTTGCAAAATGGTCAACCTTTTATTGTGCGCAACTGCCTGGGTGACTTCAAAGCGCGCGCGCAAAGCAGGCCATGAAATATGCATTCTTGTCGCTGTCAAATGTGTATGATGAACTCTCCGTCGTCGGCAGCCGTTTTCAGAGCAGGCAAATCGAGACATGCCCGTCCTTTTCGAGCATTTGGACCGATTTCTTGGAACTCACAGAATATTTTTCTTCAGATTTTATTTTGGGACCACTTTTTTTTTTGTCTGTCTCGCTTTTTTCTTTTCTTAGGTCATTCTCACACGTTGTAAATAAATAATCCCTGCATTCATGATGAGGACACTTGTTTTGTCGACCGACCTGTGTAATGGCCCCCGTGCATCCCTCCGTGATGGTTGCACACGGCGTAGAGATCGTAGAGGAAGTCAGTGGGAGCCAGCTCGGGCCGGCTGGGCTGCTTCCAGCCCGGCTGAAGCGGGGCCTGAGGTGGGCCGTGGTTGCGGTTCACCACGTGCGGCGTCATGTCCAGGTCCACCAGGGGGAAACGTACAAACGTGGTCAGCTTGTTTCTCCGCTCGCCCACTTGCCTGAAGCGCTTCAGGTGGAGGATGAGGATGTCCGGTAGCGTCCACAAGCTCATCTTCACCATCCCCTGCTGCAGCTGCTTGCAGTGTGGGCACTTCCAGGCATCGTCGGGGGCGAGCTGGAAGGCGTAAGACAGACCCATGTCTCGTATTGTCACTTCCTTCATTCGTTCCATGTGAATTTGATAAGGGACGCTCCGAAATTTCGCACAAACAACAACCACGACGCCATTCCAATCGATGTGATCGAATGTGCCACTTATGAATACGTTACCGACCTGCTCCTCTTTGGTGTAGAGCTGAAAACACTCATCCAAGGTGCAGCTGTACTGCTGGACATGCTGCTGCTGCTGATTCCTCACACTGTCCGCATCCTTCACCACCTCCTCCTGAATGTTACCAAACAGGCTACAAGCCAGGATGCAAATAGGCTTTCAGTACAGTGAACTGCGACTTGAGGGGTGGAAAAAAAAAAAAAAAGTTGAGTTGAAGCAGAACCCTAATTATTCACCAGTCTTTGATTCTGTACTCCCATTCAATGATGAGCTTCACATGCGGCGGTCCTCCCGGGCTGCAGAGTTTCAAAGCTCTAAACAAAAGCACCAACTGTTTTACTGACTTCTTTCCAGGGTAACATCGATCCATTTACGATTGCGTTTGCCCTTATTCGGGCCGCTGGGACTGGTCACCAGCCGATCGTAGGGCGCATATAAATAAATAACCATTCACACTGACGTTCACAACTGGGACCGACCGGTTTTTGATCTTCAATGGGACTAAAATGCACATTTTTGGAACGCGGGGGGAAGCTGGAGTACCCGCAGCACTCAGAATCCACCGACTATACTCCCAAAAAACCCCCAAAACAAAACATGTATTTTATTTTAAAAAAAATTGTTCAGCAGTGATTGTCTATTATAGCATTTGCTCCACTAGATGTCAGCCTTTCCAGGGAGCAGAAAGATGAAGAACCTGCTACCATTCAAATTGGGAGATGTTTAACCATCACGACTTGTTGTACCCGTGTGATTAACAACAAGAGATTGGTCACACGACAAAAAAAAAAAAAATGTTCAGGAAGTTACAAAAAGCATATCTGTCAATATTATACGAGTATATAAAACACTTCTGCTTGATGACTGAACAAACCGAACATAAACGGATGATTCAGTGCATTTCTGTTCTTTCCAAGGAACAAATCAAACTGTTTGCGCAATCACATTCAACCGTACGGATTGAAGTTGATGTGACAAAACACTAAGGTCTAAAACGTAACCTGACAGGTTGCTCAAAAAGTCCTCAACCAAACAAATTTTTATCTTGCCAGGTAACACCAAAAAAATATACATGGAAATGGGACTATTTCGGGTGATTGCTTCGGGTGTGGCCCACGGCAGAAAACAGAATTCAGCAGGTAGCACAATTAGCACTCAAGACTACGCAGAAGAAAACATTTTTTTTCACGGAATCATGGGACATGGTTGGATGCTTTCAGAGGAAAAAAAAAAAAAAAGCAGTCACTTCACACATTCTGTCCTCGTTTAAAATTCACAGTCCACACTGACCTGTCGACAGCAGGATGGTAGAGCGGCCGACCGTCCTGCGGTGACAAGTAGCTGTAAAATGACGAGCCTCCAACCACGCGGATGTTGAAGAGCACTCTGTTATTCTGCAAGAAGAACAAATCACGCGATCGCACCGTGTGAAGACACCGCTTGCATTGCAAAGAGAATACCATCCGCTCGAGGATTAGACGACGGTGGGACCTCAGAGTTCGATTACCACAAGTGTCCAATCTTCATTTTGAGGTTGACTCATATTTGGTTGAAAAATATGCCACCCCATTGCTCAATTGCGGCTCCGGCTTTCCTTTGCATGTTCTCGTGCCCGCGTGGCTTTTCTCCGGGTATTCGGGTTTCCTCCCACATTCCCAAAACATGCACGGCAGGCTGATTAAACGCTCCAAATTGACCCTAGGTGCAATTGGGAGCGCGAATGGTCATTTGCTTGCATGTGTCCTGCGATTGGCCTGCAACCAATTTAGGGTGCGCCTCGCCCACTGCCCCAAAGACAGCTGGGATACGCCCGCGAGCCTTGTGAGGAAAAGCAGATTAGAAAATGGCTGGATGATTTACTTCCTGTATTTGTTTCATTGTTTATGGCTGGTTAGAAACCTCGACCTGAGGTATCGAACGGCTTTTTGTGAGCAAAGAACATGAATTAGAATCTTGGGTGACTGTTGAGTTATGCTTATGAGAGTGTTTGAATGTACAACACATAATGTTAGAATGTTGCTTCAAGCTGCCTGTCCAGTAAATCACGGTTTTATAACGACAGATGCTGGAATTAATCATCCGAATATACCATCACCGATCCGCGTGAGGAAGATCACTGGCCCAATCAACGTTAGACCGGCCTCACAGAACAGATTGTGGTTGCCGTTCACACACGTTTTTAAATGTAGCTCTTGCGTGTGTTGATGAGGTGACTTTGTTACAAACTCTTTTCAGAAGGGATTTTCAAAACAACAAGCAGAGTACAGCCTGGTGGGACGCTAACATATTGAAAAACAGCAAAAACATCTTTGTAATCTGAGTGGGTTGAAAAGGCCAAAAGACGAGGACAAAAACAGGAGAGGCAATAAAAGCCCGATCTTCTACGTCTCCTTTGCCGCATGCTTTTATTACTGCGAGATTTGCTCAGACGGGAGGTGCTTTTGGGAATGAAGGAGCTTTGCAAAAATGAAGCAGATTTCCTCTCCTCCCATATGAAATGTGGCCGCTGCATGCGGGCTGATCTGTAACACAAACACCCACGTAAGGAAAGCTGTCTCTGACGGAACAGCGCATTCCTGAGAGAGACGCTTCGATCTGAACCGAGTGCGGTGCCGTGACCAGAACTCGCCTCCCCCTGTCTTTGCCGCTGCCCCAAAATCAGCTGAGTAGCCCTCAACAGGGGAAGGGGCCATATTGTGTGACCAAAGTTAAAAGCTTCAATTTAAGATGAACCCTTTCGAGCGCCCTGTAACCTGATAACACGATAAGCTGTCACTAAGCTAGATGACAGCATCCATCCCTCGATCATTTTTCACAATCAACCAACACTCCTCCTCTCCGCCAAACTCTTTCTCGTTGCAAAATCGACAGAATTTGGGCACGTCAACATACTCCATGATACGAAGAAGGAATTTGTATAAAAAGTCGGCGTATGCGAGTGGGTGCTAATATGACAAAATGTGAACATGCTGTGAAAAAATACCACAGCTGTCATTGTGACTGCGGGAGGAGAATGAGAAAACCTGTGAAGATTCCGATCCGAGCCCCGATGGAAAAGGGCCACGGAGCGGCGGCCTCGCGCCATCCAAGTTTGTTACGTCACAAGAGAGTCTGTTGGGCAAACTTCAGAAGCGATTGGCTTCAAAGCGCCAAGGTGAACATGTCGGGTTTCAATGTGGGCGGGGGGGCTTCATTGTCTTGCTTTTGTCTGACAGCTTTTTGTCAGCGTGAAGGAGCGCCACTGTCATTTCTCACACTAAATGCTTTTTACCGCTTTAACGCACACGTTCGCTGCTCCACGGAATAGTTCAAGCCGAACGGATCTCATCTCTGCCAACAAAATGTCCTTCTTCTCACAGCTTGTAGCGAAAAGATCAATAACTTGGGCCGCCTGCGTGTTTTGTAACAGATTACATTGCTATTCTCGCTTTAGTCGGCACCTTGCCAACCTTTTCAAATCCCTTCTGGCACATTCAGTCGCAGGGAAAAGGACTGCGCGAAAAAGGACTGCCTTTGAATTTCAATCGGTACGCGGGCTAAAATTAGAAGCGGAAAAATCCACTTGACAGTGTCATTAATTGACACAAGCTGCTATTGATTTCCTTTCAGTGTAGAGCAAACATCTGCTCTTTCGGGGAGCGGGGTGGCTACCGAAAACCGGATGGCACTTGACGGTGTGCTTTGAATGCGCCGGCTAGCGCCGAGGTGGCACTTAGAACACGGCCGTGCACTGCCACCGAAATATTTTTGCGCCTGACTTTTGTCGTCCTCTCGACTGCCGCTGGCTGACGCCTGCTGATAAACAATCTCAAAGCTGCTGAAACTTGGGCTCAGAAGATCCTAACTTTGTCCAGCTTGACTCAGGGGGGGGGGACCTGACGCCTTGTCAAGCCAGCCGAGAGAGAGATTGTCTCTCCAGCGTGTCCTGGATCCTCCCTTGGGGCCCCCTCCCATACTCCCGCCACTTCATATTTATTGTTTTATAAAAGAACAAATATCAAAGCCATAATTCAACAAAATATGAGGACTACAACATTTCCACTTACGCATCACGGACCGGACTCAATTTGGGCCAATCCTCAAACAGTTCTTACAACTGGCTCATTTTATTCATGGTAGCAGCCGACCTACTGAGTCCCGGACGACTGAGCTCCACATCTAATTGCTGAGCGTTAAAAGATGCTTTTGGAACGCGGAAGGAAGCCAGAGTTCTCCAAGAAAACCCGCACAAGCACATTGAAAACATGCAAACTGCACACAGGAATGCCGGAGCCCGGATTTGAACCCCCAACCTCACAACTGTGAGGCGGATGTGCTCATCACTTGAAATGATTTACTTCAAACTTCCGACCAAGGATCCTATTTTTGTAACGAGTTGTCCCGTACCTGTGCCGGCGCCCCGTTGATCATCAGGTAGTAAAGCTTGCTCAGAATGCTTTGCTGCAGCTGATCCCAGGAAATAGACCGGTCCTCCCTCATTAAGAATGGAGGGCCGAACCTAAAACGACGACAAAAACGGGACAAAAACCTCGTGAAGTTGACATGAAACCTTGCGCGCTACCGCGCAAAGACAAGAAGCGATTTTGACATTGGAGCAGGGTACACATTTCCGTGTCGTTAGCGAAGCGCGGTGAAGGACAAAACAGAATTAGCTGATGAGAAGTGGGGAAAAACCATCACTCTAAAAGAACGGAACCCATGACACATTTATGATAACACACACTTAATTGAAGGCGGTCCGCCATTGTCTGCTTGAGATTTATTAGCAGTCCCCGTAGGCATGTGGACGGTGAAGAGAAAAAAAAAAAAAGTGGGGCTCTGCAGTCAAGGACTAACCGACGATGTCCGTGCGTTATTCCAACAGTGTCTGTTCACTCCCAAAGTCAATGTCCTGTTGGGAAGCCTTTGGATCAATCATTTGTGCTAAAATGAAACAAGTGAAATGCCATGGTGACATTCAAGAGAAGCCATGAATGCTTTTTAGGATTCACGCATTCACACTGTCATACTCACCACTAGCTTTGCTGTTTTTATGACCTTTTTTTTTTGTTTTGTTTTTTTTACAGTAAATAGTAAGACAAGTTTACTGGACAAAATTTGGTGCTACAAAATAAGGCGGATACCTAAAAGTAGCCCTCTCCGCACTCACTTCCAATACAACCAAAGTATTTTCACGGCTTTCATCAATCATTTCGCCTTGGCCAAGGTTGGCACTCTCCCGAGTGACAATTGAGTTCTCTGTATGGCCATCACAACATTGTTAAAATGGAAGCAATGCTGTTTTCCAAAACTTTTGCGCAGTTTGGACAGCACACGCACACACAGAGAGCAAGTCATTTCACGTCGGGTGGTCCTGCGCTTTGATCCCAGAAAACCAGTGAGAGACACGTGACTCCAATGTCACCCTCTTGGCAAAGCAAACGTCTCCCACTGTCATCTGATGAGTCCGGCGGGCGGCGGGCGGGCGCTTTGATCAATGACAGTAAGTCATTTTTCAAGGAGAAACTGACACGCATGAGTCAGACTCTCACGGGTGAGACTGGCCTTTCTCACGGCCGCGTTGGCCAGCTCACCTTTATCGATCCGCCTCGATTGGACGAGACAGGCGAGGGCCCGACGGATCGGCAGGCCGGCCAGATGTTGGATTCCTTCACTCATTTATTTTCAAACTCCTCTCGCGGTGAGATAGATGTGAGGCACTTATTTTCCCGAGAGGTGAGATGACCTTGATGTGCTTCTGGCACAGAGTAGCGCTAAATATAAAATGACCGAGCATCCCACAGAGGAGGGAGAGCAACTGGATGATAATAATACTCACTCAAGTAGATGAGCGCCGAGATTTTAAAGTGCTTCAAATCAAAAACTCTCATTCAGCGACTGACATAATTGAACATGTGATTGTGTATACGTACACACACACACACACACACACACACACACACACACACACACACACACACACACACACACCAAAAATTGGGAAGATTTGCAACGTTTGCCAAGCGGTCGTCAGACGTTCGCCCGTAGATTTTTCTTGTCGCGGGGCAATTTTGAACAGTCTCTGTGACACTAAAAACTGTCGGCGAAGGTCTGCCTAGCGTTTGCGACCGTGAACGAATCCTGACAAACTCTGACGTGAACGCAACATTCGCCGCCTTTGCAAATCTTCCCAAATTGTTTGCCGCTCGGTGGGATCGGGGCTTTAGTTCCCCGTTTGGCTTTTTCGCTGCACCACGGTACGCTGTTGTATTTGGGTTTTTGTTGGTGCGTTTAGTTCTCTGCTATTGCGGCCGTGTTTTTTTTAAGGTTGCCGTTGTATTTTGCACATGCAAATCAGTCGTCAAACTGGGAACGATGTGGGCAAGCTAATGGTACCATTTGGGAGCTGCTTCTGTCTGAAGTTGAACCGTACATTTTATTTTTGGGGCATCACTTTCTCCTCATCTTAAATCGCACAATAGCAGGTAGAGATTCCGGGACGATAGAAGATGTTCATCACACAGATGAGGACGCATGGAACTTGTGTCATCACCTAACAGTTTGCTGGCCTGCTCCCGCTGCGTTGCATACCAACAGCAAAATCTTCAGTGGGACGCCCTGGTTGAGAAATTCTGAAGACAACGCCCCGGACGCAGGTAATCTTTTAGCCTCGGGACCGGCGGTATACGTCGAAGATGGCGGTAGACTGTGATGGGATCCTAAAGAGATACACAGGGAGAAACATTTGAAGAGCGCTACACCTGACTGCCACGCAAAACAGATTTTCCCAATCCTTCTTGGCAAGGCGACCGATTGTAGGACTGATGTCGAAATTGAACACCGTGAAGTGGAAGCGAAGGAGGCTGCATGCGATACGGATGAGACAGCAGCTTTCCGTTTAGGGGACTGATTCATGGAACAGATGGACTGATGGCGGTCTCAACTTCTCCGCAGGAGTGCTTATCTGATGCAGCTTGCAATCCCCCCCCCACCCCTCTTGTGTTTAGACGAACAAAGGAGGAGTGTGACCGACCGAACGAAAACGCAGACTTTATAACATCCCCGTGAAAATGCGACGGTGCATTTTTGTCACACAGTCGACAAGCTCGGTGCTCGGCACGCAGGTCAGCGCCTACGAGCGTGACTGTGATCAATCGCGCAGCGAATCCTACTCAGACGACAAGCAATGGATTGGCCAAAGGTACCGAGTTTCCCCCCCCCGTTCCTAAACCACAGTGTTTTATTAAAGCCTGTTGCTCCCCTGACAAGGTGATTCATCACTGCCAGCGGCGGTGATGGGTGTGATCTTTGCAAAGCAGCAAACAACTGTGTTAGCACGAGCCGCCTCCGACCGCTATAATTGGGGTGTGCCGGGCGCATTAATCTGGACGCTGCAAGAAGGGCAAGACCCATTCAAAACTAATCAAAGTCGACAAATACGCCATCAAAGCTTGAGCGTGAATAGACTGATTGCGATGTCGCGACCTCGGGAATTCAAATTCTGACGAGAACGTGCAGCTTTTAATTTGGTAACGTTGCTCTCATCAAGCTGGCGATAAAACTCACTTCAAATGGTGCGTGACAATTTTGTCAAGGAGTGACCTCTGACAGCTGCGGGAGCGAGGCACCAAGGAAACCTCCTTTTAAAAGCCCTTTTTAAAACATGTTGAGGAAAGACTAAAACGCTGAGGTCACCTCCTGTTCCGTCCCGCTGAGAGTTACACGGGGCCGCCGCCACCGCCGCCAAGGGGAGCCAGCGCTCATCCTGCATTAAATCAAATATTTTTATGGCTCCCTGTCAAACGCCGTACGCTTTCCACACTTCTGTTTCTTGTCTCCTTTCGCTTCTCCCCTGTTGTTTTCCCGCACAATTGTCTTTGTGTGGCATCACGGTTTATGTTTTGACACCACGTCGACAAACACGCACCCCAGCGCCTGTTAAATCGCGGGTCTAATCGGGGAAAAAATGTGCGGGAAAACCAATGTTTGTGACATTGTCGCCGCTCTGCACTCCCGTGCCTCTTTCAGCCGAGCGCCCACCAGGAAGAAGCAGACTAAACACGGTCAAACTATAATTAGAAATGACTTTTCCTCAAGGATTCAGCTCTCCGCACACACACACACACACACACACACACACACACACGCTTGCACACGCACTGTAAAGTGACGCGTAAGCAGGCGCGTCAAACACGGGCGGCTCGTCCACGTCGTCCACGCTCACGTGCACGATGGTGACGTCGTGCAAGGCTGGAATGTCATGGCGGGGGGAGGGGGGGGGGGGGGGGGGGGAATGGAGGTGGTCTATTCGGGTTTTTGTGCTTATTCATGCATTATGACTTGCGTGGCTCCATCGATGTTGGACCTGGCTCAAAATATCTCTTCTAGTAGAATCCCAAATGTGTTCTCCCTGCGCCAAGCCCATCCGAGCACGCCTTAATGGACCGTGCAGAAACGGGACCGCTCCAAAACTGTTCGCACGGGGCCAGAAGCCTAACATGGTCCATAATGTCTTGAGAAGACCAAAGAGGGAACAAACGGGTAGAGCAAACCCTCCTGATTGGTTCGTGGATTAGACCTTTATGATTTGAATTTCAGGAACCGCAATCTCGAGTTGTGCCATGTAAAGTTTTGGTGCCACGTAAGGGCAGAAATGCGACGACACATGAAGAAGCCACGGGCTGCACGGCGCGAGCTGAGAAAGACTCGGAATGTCGTGAAGACGCGGAAGCCATAAATCTGATGGCACGGGAGGGCTGGGCGCAGAGTGTGTGCGCATCATTCACAGCGGGATGTTATACACTTTTGTTACGTGCTCCTCAAGGCCCTCTTGCAGTAAGGTGCGCTCCCCGCGGGTTTCATTAAGAATACTCAACTGGCTGTTTGCTTCCCGAGAGTGTTTGCAAACTTGAAAGCAAGCGATCAAACCGGCAAACGGCGATATTATTATCTTAAAATAAATGTAGCCAGATATAAATGGACCAGAACCTTGAGCTGGATTTTCAACCTGCAAGCTACCTGAAGTCCGTGCAGAGCCGCCTCGAATGTAGAGAGGCGGAGCCTGGAAGGCATAGGTTTCAGCACGGCCAGCGGCGGTGATGGGTGTGATCTTTGCAAAGCAGCAAACAACTGTGTTAGCACGAGCCGCCTCCGACCGCTATAATTGGGGTGTGCCGGGCGCATTAATCTGGACGCTGCAAGAAGGGCAAGACCCATTCAAAACTAATCAAAGTCGACAAATACGCCATCAAAGCTTGAGCGTGAATAGACTGATTGCGATGTCGCGACCTCGGGAATTCAAATTCTGACGAGAACGTGCAGCTTTTAATTTGGTAACGTTGCTCTCATCAAGCTGGCGATAAAACTCACTTCAAATGGTGCGTGACAATTTTGTCAAGGAGTGACCTCTGACAGCTGCGGGAGCGAGGCACCAAGGAAACCTCCTTTTAAAAGCCCTTTTTAAAACATGTTGAGGAAAGACTAAAACGCTGAGGTCACCTCCTGTTCCGTCCCGCTGAGAGTTACACGGGGCCGCCGCCACCGCCGCCAAGGGGAGCCAGCGCTCATCCTGCATTAAATCAAATATTTTTATGGCTCCCTGTCAAACGCCGTACGCTTTCCACACTTCTGTTTCTTGTCTCCTTTCGCTTCTCCCCTGTTGTTTTCCCGCACAATTGTCTTTGTGTGGCATCACGGTTTATGTTTTGACACCACGTCGACAAACACGCACCCCAGCGCCTGTTAAATCGCGGGTCTAATCGGGGAAAAAATGTGCGGGAAAACCAATGTTTGTGACATTGTCGCCGCTCTGCACTCCCGTGCCTCTTTCAGCCGAGCGCCCACCAGGAAGAAGCAGACTAAACACGGTCAAACTATAATTAGAAATGACTTTTCCTCAAGGATTCAGCTCTCCGCACACACACACACACACACACACACACACACACACAGGCTTGCACACGCACTGTAAAGTGACGCGACACCGCACTACAGTATGAGGAACTGATACGAGAAGGGGGGGGGGGAATGGAGGTGGTCTATTCGGGTTTTTGTGCTTATTCATGCATTATGACTTGCGTGGCTCCATCGATGTTGGACCTGGCTCAAAATATCTCTTCTAGTAGAATCCCAAATGTGTTCTCCCTGCGCCAAGCCCATCCGAGCACGCCTTAATGGACCGTGCAGAAACGGGACCGCTCCAAAACTGTTCGCACGGGGCCAGAAGCCTAACATGGTCCATAATGTCTTGAGAAGACCAAAGAGGGAACAAACGGGTAGAGCAAACCCTCCTGATTGGTTCGTGGATTAGACATTTATGATTTGAATTTCAGGAACCGCAATCTCGAGTTGTGCCATGTAAAGTTTTGGTGCCACGTAAGGGCAGAAATGCGACGACACATGAAGAAACCACGGGCTGCACGGCGCGAGCTGAGAAAGACTCGGAATGTCGTGAAGACGCGGAAGCCATAAATCTGATGGCACGGGAGGGCTGGGCGCAGAGTGTGTGCGCATCATTCACAGCGGGATGTTATACACTTTTGTTACGTGCTCCTCAAGGCCCTCTTGCAGTAAGGTGCGCTCCCCGCGGGTTTCATTAAGAATACTCAACTGGCTGTTTGCTTCCCGAGAGTGTTTGCAAACTTGAAAGCAAGCGATCAAACCGGCAAACGGCGATATTATTATCTTAAAATAAATGTAGCCAGATATAAATGGACCAGAACCTTGAGCTGGATTTTCAACCTGCAAGCTACCTGAAGTCCGTGCAGAGCCGCCTCGAATGTAGAGAGGCGGAGCCTGGAAGGCATAGATGACGTCATTTTCCGCTATACTGGTTAGGTCGTCTTCATCAAAGAAGGAGCGCTGGAACCCGCTGGCGTAAACTTCAGTCAGGATCACCTATGGAGGGAAAAAGTTTTATCTGGCGGGCCCCGCCGTGTAGCCTCCATATAGAAAATGAGTCTTCATCTCAGAAGCATGAATGAACCCAAAAGTGTATTGTGCTGTACACTTATTCTACTTCATGTTACTCCAGTCGGAACATCTCAGAGAACTTTCGCGGTAGTTTTACCTGATCTGGGGAAACGTTGCCCTCATCAGCCACCATCCTTCTCAAGCAGGCGACAGAGCCGAACAGAGGCACGGCCAGACCGACTCGCAGGTACCTTTGTCCCTTTGTGCTGAACACCAGAGTCACACACACGGGCCTGCCGGAGAGAGCGACGCACGGTTAGGATGAGCGAGAGCCCGCCTCACCTCTCTTTGGTCATGTTCTGAGTTGGAGCAGACTGAGCGATGGCCAGGAGGGGACAAAAGAAGACTTTCATGAATAAATCAATACATTTTAACATGAATAATGGATCATTAGGAGTTAAGTTTTATGACGGCCAAATAATGGAATCTATTGCATTTTTAAAAGCAGGGAGCCCTTGGCTCTGACCTCTCCAGAGGCAGCCGCCCCTTTTACGCAGATTTTCAAGCTGACAACATAGTGCGCCAGGTACTCCTCACCTCTCTTTGTAAAGTGCACCGGGCATCGATAAGCGTTAAAATAGCGACACGGAATGTGTCTTTGCCTGGCCTTCAAATGCCCCCAAAGATAAAAATCAAGTGTGGTGAGATCTGGTAGGCCGCTCCTTCGGAGGCCGACCCAATCCAAGCATCTGAAATTGCCGATTCTAACCACTGATGCCCGTGTCAGGATGAGACGGGTGCTCCATCTTGATGAAAGTAAACTCAAAGTTACCATCCTCGTTTAGCAGGGTTGGAAAATGTAAAGAGCCAAGATTTTCATTAAAAAAAAAAAAAAAAAAGATTCTTTCACTCAATATCTCTCCAAAATTTACCAACACCTTGGGCTTTTTTTTTTTCATCCAAGGGAGATAAACTGGGCACGCTTTGAAATGTATGTTTATAGAATGGTCAATTTCACATTTTTTTCACCAATCGCTACCGATAGGAGGTAGCTCATTTGGACTTCAGGTCAAAACAGTGACGGCACCCCTGCTCTGTCCCTGCACCAATGCAAGATAGATTTGCAACCACACTGGATAAACACAATGATTCATTATGCAAAGATTGCAATACCGTCGACAGAGGATCCAATGTTTGGGTTGTTCACCACAGGGCACATTTGGTTGGAGGCAATCTGTGTGTTCTGAGTACATGGCTCAGCCAGTAAGAATATTTGCACACAAAGAAACAAAAAGAACCTCGACAACTAACTTGGTTTGACTCAGCAGACCTCTTCAGTAAAGCTCAAAGAAATTACTGTTTGAAAATGCTTTCAGAGATGATCCACCAGTCATATTTGTTGAGTTGAATTGTTTTGGAAATAAATACCAAAACGTTTAGGGCTCGGAAATAGCTTTGAAAATAACTATTTGATGTGAAATGGCGTTGCAGTGCATGTTGCTTTCTTAAGTTGAATAAGACATTCTTTCATTTGCTCCGAGAAATTTACACCCGCTTCCTGTTTTGATGCAAGCAATTCTGTTTCGCAAGTGTTATGTGAACAACACTGCAGCCTGAAGCACCAGCTCTGAGCTATAGTTACAAAAAGCCAGGTGAAGATCTTTTGAAAAGAATGAGGTTATTTTTCTTCCAGACGGCGTCCCGGTCAACTTGGAACAAACGGAAACCGGATGCTCATTCGCCATGCATAGAGTCCATTCCACAAAATGACCCCACCCCGCCCCCAACATAAATACACACATCAAAGCAGATTCAAAGGTGATTCAAAGCATTGAACGACTTTGGCGTCAATCGCCAACACAAACTGCTCATCTGGTGAAACCCTGCGATACTCACCTGGTCTGGCGAAGAGGAATCGGCAGTGAGATGCAAAGGAAAGGGTCAAAGGTGTTGCTCTGTTTCAAACAATGGGGGCATGTCAGTGAAGATCTGTGGGAAAAACAAAGTGCACACTTATCAGTCTCCGCAAATTAATCTCGCTGATTACGTCTGGCAGAAATGGAGTGGCCTTAATTACATCACATGAGAAGAACACACCCCCCCGAAAAAAAAATATAAGAGATATACGCTCTTATCTGATTGGGAGGGCTGGAGAAGACAAGCTTTCCATCATGTTGCATCACTTTCAATGGTGCCACTAATGCTGTGTAATGCCACAGCGGGCTCCTTGCAAGGAAATGTCGAGAACTTCAAAGGTTTTTTTTTCCCTCCACATCTGACAACAAATTGTACAGTGCTGGCAATAGTCGCAGCATGCCCGCGACCCTTGTGAGGAGAAGCGGATTCGAAAATGGATGGATGGATGGATGACTGCACATCATTGTTACTTATGCCGTCAGCAGAAGTCACAATAACGTACTACCAAAATCAGCATTCATTTCGTAAATGACGAGAACCAACACCCTTGCGACTACAGCAAATGACACCCTGCCTGTACAAACTAACACATATGACCGGTAATTTATTTTCCTTCTTTCTCTTTGTTTTTAATTGCTGTGACACGAGCAAAGCCGCAGCAGAGTTTACCGCTGATGGATGTGATTGCTTCTCTTCAGTGATCTTTACAGAGCACTCGGGGAGACTGCAATTATAACAGAGGCTAGATGTGCACTCAATACATGTGGTTCAAAAAGAGGTATAAAAGGATGATGTCGTTCAAATGTACAATTTCCTTTTACGGTCAAAAATAGTCCAAAACATATTGCACGGATAGATCGAGCCAGGATGGGAAAAATTGAGGCCGAATAAAGCCCTATTGAAGCAAGCCCAGCTGACACTGGCTCACACTGGATCAGTCCCTCTTGGCAGAGCAGAATGGCTGCCCTACGGATGTCTGATCCTCGCCAGGAAACAGCGAGGGGCCGTTGCGCTCTGCGCATGCAAATCACACTCAAGCCGCTCTCAAACATAGACGTGACCCGCGCTGCTCCAAAAGACTTGAAAAGTGAAAAGCCAAAAAGGGGGAGGTCATGTTCTCGTGACGGACTAATGGAGTAAGCGTGGAAAGGACCAAGGATGTATACCGGAATTCCCGGACTACAAAACACACCTGAGTAAAAGCCACAGCGGCTAAATTTAGACAAAAACTAATTTGTACACACATTGGCGGCTGCTTGGGATTAATAGCCACTGGTCTTCACGTTATAACACGGGATAGTTGTAAATAAAGAAAGACATAGAAGGTGTTACATCCAAATATGGGTGCCGTCATTCACTGAAGGACGTTACAATACGCCGGCAATAAAAGAGATGATTTATTGGGCCCGTAAACTCTCAGCGCCACTTGAACCAAGCTGGCCCTCGAGGTCAAACGGGCAATACGAGCGATCTGACTGAAACCGCATCGCTTCATCGATTGGAAATAATTAAATGCGCACGATTAAACAACGACAAAAAAAATGAATGCATCGTGTGAACATACAATTGGAGCTCTGTCTATACACAACAACAAAAAAACCCCGTCCTCCGCTAATCCTGCATTACTGTTGCGACATATGCGACTTTTACCACAAGTTTGAATACACCGTCCCATTGTGATTCTGATCGTGTGCAGACTTGACTTGCTTCAGTTTGTGTAAATGCTGTGATGACTTCACAGTGACCAAGCGGGCTTTTGTATCGAGGTCATGCATGCTGTGGTCTATCAATTCTTGGCCTTGCGTTGCGTCAGGCACCCCACGGAGAAGTGTTCCCCTGGCTCACGGGAGCGCTGAGGCCTCAGGACTTCAGAGAAAACCAAAGTGAGAGGAGTTAAGAAATATTCACCTCATCCAGAGCCTTCAGGGCATTTATCTCATAGGCATGCGCGCCCGCTTTCACGCGGTCAAAATGACCCCGACCGGCCCGTTCGTTGGGTTCACGTCCAAGTGAGTGTCATTCAGCCCAACTCCTTTGCATTAGTTTGCATCCTGATGTTATGAAGGTCCAAAGTCAAATATTTCACGCCTTTGAGGAGAGTAATTACGAGGACGCGCATTATCGTCAGTCACACCGAGCTGACAATGTGGCGAGGAACTGGCAGCTCAGCACTTGTAAACAAGATTAGGGCAAGTTCACTCTGGAGGGGAAGGGGGGGGGCACCTTTTAAAAAGTAATTTTCCTCGAGAGTACATCCTTTGGTTTTACTGTGTTGCATCGCTATCAGCCCCCCATGGTGTAAATGAAGGATCCGCGCTTAAGTGGGCTCTCCATAGTGCAACGGAAAGTACTCCAAGAAGGTCAGCATTGTCATAATATTGCTAAAAGGAAAGTGCAAATAATTGATATGTTACAGAATTGTGGGAGAGAGTGGAAGGTGACTTTTTGATCAAGGTTGTTGAGGAATTAAGGGGTTGTAAAACCTTGACAATTAAGTGTTCCTGTTGACAATCTTGATTAGGGCTGACGCTGAATCACATTTTTTTTTTTTTTTTTAATCGACATTGCAATGTCGTAAATTTCAAATGGCCAGGATTAAAAGAAGCATGACGACTCACTTGTACTGTGCCTGAAAATGTTCCTGGACAAAACTATGTTGCTGCTGGCAATGGGGCGGGCCAGGATGCCGCAGGTTTTCATCTTCATCGGGATCCTGCAGCAAATAAAGAACAACATGCCTTCAGTCATCTTCAGCAATCCACAAAACGTTAGATGTTATCCACCTATAAAAGAAAATAAGGCAATTTGTGGAAAGCACTGAGTGAAACGAACGCCCCGCCCCCGGGAGGGCAACGAGGGAGGGAAGGTGGCCTTGGCTCGAGATAAATGACGAAGGAACATATTTATCAACACCAGTGGAATTTTCTGCTGTAATCAGAGAAGACCAAGGCATGCCTCACACACACGTGACCGAACTGGAAATTTGCGAACAAATTCCGGTAGTCTTTGGGAAAAGTCTGTCAGCACGGGACCGAATTCCGCACACGGCCACGTCTGCCTTCTGTTTTTTGCTGAATGGAGTGTACTGCTGCCTGACATTTTCTGGGCTCTCTTATCTCGTTCAAGCCATTTCTGATGGATATATTTAACCTGTTGAAACTGGCTGAAACTCAAAATGTTTAAAACACGTTGGTCTCATCATATTCATTCAGGCGTGAGTGAACTTTGCGTGGATCGACACAAGCGTGCAGGAGCCCGAACCGGGGTCACAGCTGGCAGGGCACAAATTACTTGGATTGCGGTTTTGAATATCGATGTGGGCCTTGCTGTGTGAAACTTGCCTGCTCTGGGGTTCTTTCAAAGTTCTCCCACCTCCCCTCCCAACAGTCCAAAAGCGTTTGCAGTGTATTGAAATGAAGACAAAAATTGGCTGTACGTCTGATTTTTAGTGTGAATGGCGATGTCTGGCACAACCTTGCGCCTCAGCAAGTGAGCATTCCAAAGGGTACTAAACTCCTCTTACCCAAAGTTTATTTCTGACCCTGAACAGAAACTTGCTTTTCCAAAGCATGTTTCTGCCAGCATTGCGCCTGCTGCGGCGCCTGCATTTGGGTCCAGCTGCCTCTAACGCAACAATATCATTTCCATCACACACATCAGCATTCAGAGCCCCCCCACCCCCAAAAAAACGTCCATTTTACAAATGGCTCTGTGCAGGAAAGGCTTTTTCTCTGATGGAAAGTCCCATACTTGAGAATGCATGAAGTCATTTGGTATCATGATTTTATAGAATGAATGTGTGTTTTTACACCAAAGCAGAATAGTCCTCTCGGCCCAGTCTGTTTCTATCACCGCTATTTTTAACATTTCCGGGTCCCGCACAAACTGACCCCGGCTTCTCGGTCGCCGGCTCTCCCTTCATTCAGGTTTTCAGACGGTAAGACGATTCTTTCAAGCGTGTTCAAGTTAAGCAAACACCAAGCACAAGACTGAAACGTGACCTTCTGACTGCAGCGTGCTTCTTCAAGCATGCACAATAAGATAAGAAAACCTTTATTTGTCTCACAATGGACTAATTCCCATAATGGCACACCGCTGACTTTGTTCTCTTTATGTTTTGCGTGGACCCCCCCCCCAGCCCCCTTTTGGTCGGATTATGACCCAAAATGTCAAGGAGCACACGGATATTGACTGATCCAATGTCATCTTAGGTTTGCGGTGACATATGAGAAATCAAAAGGTCACCCATTCTATGGTTTGAGATATGTACTCCATGTACTCTGACCCAGCATTTCCCCTCTTTCCCCTCCCACGTAACTCCCGTTGGAGTTATCTGTGCGGCGATAACAAAGGAACATTCAGACCAATGTGTGCAGACAGATACAGTTCGGCTTATCGCTTCTCAGGAACTCACGGC